TAAAAGTACGGGAAAAACGTGTCGAGTAAGATAAAACAAGATGTAGTCGCTAAAGATTTTGCAGAATCACCCTGTTCTAGTTCGAATAAATTGAAGAGAAAAAAATTATGTTAATTGTGAGTGCAAATTTCTTTCTTTAAAATACGGTTTTGTTAGTATTTGCGCTGTTCGCCATCTTGTTTTTGTGGACGCTACGTCCACAAAAACAAGATGGCGACCGGAAGTGCCGCCATCTTGTTTACCTAACAACACATTTACCTTTTTTTATTTGAACTCTTTATGCCCTGTGGGCACTAAGAGGGCCTCTTTTAGCGAGCCCGTTATGAGTTCGGCCGGGCCCATAATAAGGCGGCCGGATGGTAAGGGACGGGGCCTCCCGAAAAATTTCCTGGGGATTTTTCGACCCCCAGAAATTCCGTAACTGCGTCTTCTCCGAAAATCCTCTCGTGTTTGCTCCGTCTTCAAACATTTTTATCGTGATGGGACCATAACGAGTGGCAAACCAGACTGGTCGGTTCTACATCTTCAATTATCTAGGGTACGAACATAGACAACACGGCTTTGCCTTTACAACAACACATTTTTTAGGTGTCACCTTACCCACGGACTACCCTTTTTTTCCCCCCCTCTTATCTCATAAAATACGGCTGGGTTTCGATAATGCAAGATTGGGCTACGAATAACAGATTGAGATATTTGTAGTGCTGTAGGCTACTTTTTGAACCACTTGGCATTTGGCATGTAATACAGAAATATATAAATCTAGAATAATTCGATGTCGCGAGTAATTCGTCACCCGAATTTCGAACTAACGAGGATTTCCTGTATACTCCACGAATGGTGAAAATGGGCTACTCCAAGCCGGGATAGTCGCGTGGACTAAACTTAAACTACGAATAAAAAAAAAAGGCAAGCAAAACTTACAACTATAAACAGGATGCTCCAGATCCACTTGCGGCTTCAAGGATTGCTTCCTATTACTTGCTACAGGAAGGCAAAAGACCAATTTTCACAGCGAATTTCACATTCGAAGAAGTCCTCTCGTACGAGTCCAATTCCTTTTATTCCTCAAGCAATAACAGAACAAAGTCTACAGTTGTGCAAATGCGCCAAAACATCAATCATCTCGCACAAAATCCACGAAAAAATAAATGAAAAGGCAATCATTATTATACCACCGATCACGCTCAGTAACCGACTTCGTATAATCCAGCGTATCTGTATGCAAATTTTAAACACTTCCACCAACGAAATCTCGTACACAGAGCGGAAGTATGACGTAGATTTAGGTTGTAGGATTGTAAAAATCTTTGTAAAATATTCGAATGCAATCCTCGTGTGTAAAGAAAATAAATTAAACAAGCAAAAATGCTATTTATTTATACGTTCCAGCAGTTCTCAAAGCGATGAGGTTATGACTAACCTGATTAGATTAGGCATCTGATCCGAATTTATTATAAAATTTGCTTTATCTAAACAACTTGCATGCTAGTTTACGAGACAATAGTGCTAACAAACCATATATAGATTACCACGACAGCGCGGTGGCACGCAGTAATCCCGGAGGATGCAGGATTTTGTGTCAAGATAGTGTAACTTGATTATTGAAATTAGTTTGGCAGATAACGTGTTTTTGTAGCATTACATTGGGCGACCCATTTATAAAATATGGTCTGCCGACACCTTTACCTCCATATCATTTGACTCACAGTAACTTTACTGTCTTCATCAAGCAATCCCTGGTACAGACTTTGCCTTTTTTTACGCTTAACTTAGTTTTTGCTGTCAGATCTCCAAAGGTTAAATTTGGATTCATCTGAAAACACAACAGAATCCCACATATTGAGGCTTCAGTCCGCAAGCTCTTTAATCGAGATGTCTGCATTTTACTCGTTACCAATGGCTTCATACATGAACGACAGGCTTTAAAAACCCACGCTAGGCAAGGTCATGCAGTTCCTACATTTAATTTTACGTTTGCTCTCCCCGCTTCCAGAAGAACCAGCAATACAAATATATTCTCGAAGACAGACACTTTAGTATCCTATTCTGGCATGGCACACACATTTACCTCTTGATCTAGCTTTTCTTTCAATACTGCTACATTCATGCCTCCTTTGTAACAAACACACAACTGTCCATTGATGGCAATGTACTGTACACACTGTGCTATTTTACCAGATAAACCTTCAAGTTTTCAAACAAAATGGCGTAATCATTAGAAACATTGCTGCAGTAAATTTTTTCACTGTTATGTTATGGATGATGAAATCTTGTATGGTTCCTTGTACGCCACTGTATTGTATTATTCTTTACATGTGAACAATATCAGACTAATTATTGTTATTAATCCGAATCAATTGTCTAGTTATGTGTAATCTAAATTCAGTCTATTCTAAGATATAAATGATTTCGGTTCATGTTATCATAATCAGTTTTATATTAGTATTTGGAACATTTAGCTCTATATATTTTACTATAAAATGTAAATAATATATATGAATAATGACAACATTTCGATACGTACTTTTTATGATATAAATTTATTAGAGACATTCAGCAAAATTTCAGTCATTCTCATTGCAATTCATTTAATATTATCAACAGATTAAGGGAAAATTTTTGTTCTTTGGTTAGACACAACATCACTTGTCATTATCACACACTGCTATGATGATACATTTTCTTTTTTTTTAAATATATCGTCCATTGTTTTTTTTTCTTAACCGGCAACAGATACAAAAAAGAAACGAAAAAATTTAACAATGCTGGAAAAAAAAATATATATGAAATCACATCCATACAGTTTTGTGATGAAGAGAGAGATTATGTCCATACTTTCGGAGCAATTCCATCAGATATAATTCTCAAATGTTAGTACCAAAGACACCACAAATATAAACATTATTATTCTACCATCTGTACATATTAACTCCATGGCTCAATTTTGTCATGGATTATCTGAAATGTTGACATTAACACAAATTTTTTTTTGTACAAATTGACACTATTTACAACCCCAATGTAGCAAAACAAGGCATTGGGAAAGAGATTAGTTGGCCAGTAATCTGTTGGAAGCAATTATGTGCAGGCACTCAATTTTTAATTTAAAAAATTAACCGAAAATTCAAGATAAATAACATTTACTTTAGCAGATATTATTATTATTATTATAACTAATAAAAAAATTAAAATTTCAAGAGATTTTTTATGAGTTATCTCTTACTTGGTCACAGCTGATTTGTTAATACAGTATGAAACTCAGTAATGGATAGAGACAGTTACTACTGTAACAAATATTTTCAAGAAACTATTTCAAACTTACGATACAATAGGATATATTTTTACGAAAAGATGGTAAAATTTTCTGTATTTTATAGCTCTACTCGTTAACGAACAAATTAGATATTAGATCCGACGAAGAATAACGCTTCCTTTCACAATTTTAACAAAAAGAATAGCTTTATTAAAAACAATTTTTTTTTAAAGATTCATTAAAAAATACGGTAATGTGTATAATAAAATAAAATTCGTATATTGATGTTCAAATAAAATATACTTAAATATATAGCACGTCAATAGGATATTTACTTATTTTGCTTAAATTTACACAGTGTGAATTTGTTAACATTTCTAAAAATTTTTACATTAAAACTTAATTTGTTATAAAAATCTTAAGTTTGGTCTCTCTTTTTTTACTTATGACAATTTACAAATACACATTAGAAATACATAAGTTTTTTTTTTCACAATCAAAATAAAAGTACAATTAGTAAAGGTAGAGAGACCTCAATTAATATTTATAGTAAAAATTTATGCTTATAATTGAGCTCTTTTATCACAGTTCCTAGCTTTATCGTTCTACAAAATTTCAACAGATTATTGTTCGCCAAAAAACATTAAGTAAGAAAAACTGGATCCTGTCAAATTATTAAGAAATCAAACGTTGGAAAAATATCTGCAAAGAAATTGCCGTTTGTCGAAGGTAAACAAGTGCATCGTCGTATTATTATTATACATTATAAAACTGTCAACAGCTGCCCAGGACAAAGAGATTACAACCCTGACAAGTTTTAGTATTAGACTTTCTAATATAACTTACATCTTTCTCTTTTGATATGAAAGTATTTTATTTTTTTTTTTTCAATCATAAAATTCTGATTGAGCACAATATTCCATCTTCCAACTTATAATAATAAAAATCCAAAATATCTTAAAATAATTTAACAAAAGAATATTTGAAAAATTTAATTAAATTCCAAATAAATTCAAGAACGTCATCTAAACTGATATTTAAATATCCATAATATGAAAGTGAGTTAGAGAGAAATAGAGAGAGAGAGAGAGTAAAAGAGAGCTTAAGGTTCCGACACTAGTAAACAACTATTAGCTACAACTCTTGAAATGCTGTTATATCTACTGATACCATTTGATGAATGCATCGTTCCGTCATCGTAATCGTCAAAAGAGTTTTTTTTTTAAATAAATAAATCAGCATTTCTAATTGTATAACTAAACTTCAGACATTGTTTTTTAAAAAACTGTATTTTAAGGAACTATTATATAAAGTGTAAGCACGATTTTAGAGGGGGGAAAAGAAACATTTATTAAAATAATCAGAAAAATGTAAGAGAAAAAATATTATATTACTTATATGTTAATCATTAGAATATATGATACATATGTTAAAATATTAATTTACATTAGCAATGCCCATCACAATGATTACATTGCTATCACAATAATCAATAAAGTAAAATAATATAAATAAAAAATATCATAGAATTAGTTAATTTGATGAGTTGTGTAAAAATGTAAGATTTATATAAAAATTAAAAAAAGAGAAAGAGTTAATGAGATGCTTTGAAAATTGAAAGTAAAAAATGAAATTAATATTAGAGTGTAATAAACTCAGGCAACNGGTCTCCCCATTGTGGACCTGGCCGAACTCATAATGGGCTTGCTAAAAGAGGCCCTCTTAGTGCCCACAAGGCGAAAAAAGTTAAAAAAAAAAAAGATGCGCACGAAAAATTTTGTTAATTAAAACTAAACAGAAGACAGATTCCTTAAAATTCTGTCCGGGTATCTTTATAAATTAATTGAGACAATGTGATATGTTGTTAATCTCTGTAAGTCATTTCTTTTAAATGACTGATTATTCAATGAAATTTAGTATTAATTTTTCTTATTACATGAAAAGAAATAACATTATCTAAATTGATTAATGCTTTCTATAATTTTTTCTTTTATGGCAGTAATATTTGATATCTATTTTTTCTTCAATTTAATATTTATCTAATTTTGAAAGTACTTTCCTTGGATTGCAGCCATATTTTGATAGCTGTACATGACTTAGAAAATGTAGATTGAATATGAACTGTCTTTCCAATGAAGTTCTTGGCACACTACTTAAAACTGGACTGATGGTATTTGACAACAGCTAACAATTTTAGATGGTACACATTTGGAAGCCTTCAACCATTTAACATAGTGCCATGTTAACATCTTTTTTCTTGTTTTTGATAACAGCAACTTCTCAATGTGTTTTATCCCAATTAGCCACGTTTGTTTTCCTGTATCTTCTTTAACAGATCTTGTATTGATACCGAGTACAGTGTGATTGACAAGAGGACAAAAAAATGTCAATGATGTGAAACGTAAGATGATGGAATTATCGTAGCTCTCGTTTCTTTCACTTTGGAAGGAAAATTATTAACAGCTAACCCCACGTATTTCATCCCTCAGAAAGGCATGTATGGTACTTTGAAAATTGGTACCTTTAGCTAGCTGCAGCCATTCTCGATGGGGATTTTGTCCATAACAGATTACATATTGTATGCAACGTACATTGGGTCCAATTGATCAGCTAAAAAACCATCTCTGAGATGCATTCTCTGCTTTTCTCCTCTGGAATTTATGGGTACTACACCTGGATCAACAACAACTACAACACCAACTATTAGTTGATGTTCTTCTAAGATAACATTGGTGACAAGGGGAACTAAATCCAAAGCTTCATTTTCATTTCCATCTAATTCTACTACTACCACCAATAGATTAGTCCAAGTAAACACAGCACTAGAAATTAAATATAAAATTAAAATAAAATTTCCATTTAAAATGAAATTAATTAAGAATTATTTCTCACCATTCTGACACTTTTTTATGACATCGAAGAACACTATTTTCAATATCTATTGGATGATACCTCATGCCTCTTAACATGATCATTTCATCTAAAGAGCCAACTACAAATACTGCATCATGTAATTCTGTATTAAAAAATTTAATGTTAAAATATTGTAATTATATTATCTTAAATAGTTAGTGTAATAACAATCAATTACAGTAAACTCCTGCTAACTTTGACCTCACCGACTTGGATTTTGTGTAACTCAAATTTTTCAAAAATTTGTCCGAGTTACACAAAGTCACAGTAATTTAAAATTTATTGACAGTACAAAAATTATAATTAAAAAGTGTTTTCAATATATAGAAGTCTGCAATACCATGCATTACATTACTGTAGTCTGTAAGTTACTAAAGACTGTACATTACCATATATTGTACTGTCATGAAATCTTTAGAGATCATTTCTTATTAATAATAATAATAATTTTAGCAGTATAATCTACTAAAGCTCAGTAAAACTTCTATACAGAGCTGATCCTAATATATTACTGCACTGAATTTCCACATTCTTGTTTTCAAATCATCAGAGAAAACACCCTAATAACTTGGCCTTTTGTAAACTTGGAGAACCTTAGCAGGGATTTACAGTAATAATCAAAAAATTCAACAAGAAGATATTTACTAATCATAGTAATTTATATAAAATTATTGTAGAACATAGTTCTTGTGCAATTTTTGGTGACTTAAAGCATTCTATGTGGCATTTTCATATTATTATTTACATAAAAACAATTTTAAAAGCATCTTTGGCATTTCAATTAATTAATTAAAAAACTATTATTTTGATTTTCTTTATTTTAAAATTTAATATTCAAAAAATATGATACTCAACACTGCAGGACCAAAACTGACAATGATTTAAAATAAAAGTTGATAGAATTGTTGTAACTCGTGAGTTCATAGCTGTTCATTTGTATCAAATTTCCATAATGCTTACATAAATGCCTTAAATTAAATATTACATAAAACTTTTACATGTTTGTTTTTTTACTTTTCAAAACTTTGTCTAAAACATTGAAGTTAACTTTAAAAGCTTATATGTTATAGTAGAATTCACTTATTGTAATCATGGATATCATCATCAGTTGCTTATAATGTAATAAGAATTAGCAAGTCTAAAAACACAAAATTTTATAAGTTTATTTTGACTTATTTATTATATTCAGAATTTTAGTTATAGTTACTACTACTTTCGGGTAAATTTTTAAGCTGTCTGTTTGCATCATTAGACTTAATATGTGGCTGATGATTATTAGAAGTGATAATGATCGCATGTTATCAGTTATTGTTATCGCTTTTAACCGGTGCTTTAAACATTAAATGTTTTAAGGATTGGTTTAAGAGTTAATGTTTTAATTGTTATTGCTTGAAGTAAAATAATTTGAAATAACAACTGTCAGCAATTTAGTTAAATGCTAGTTGTTAAAAGTGGCATAAAAAAACTTGATTGAAAATCTTTGAATTAAAATTGTGTTAATTAAATAATTTTATATTGTGTAAAACAGAACTATAGACTAGTGTGATAACATCTATTGTCTATTAATAATGATTAATAAATCTCAAATAAATAACTTTTTAAATAGTGACTAATTCCCACATGCTAGATTAATGTGTGGGAATTACAATTCAAATCCAGTTTCAGAACATTTTTTATGTACTGTACAATAGACTTTGCTCATTGTAATCACCTTGGAACTCATCTAAACTGATGATAATCAACTGATAACATAATTTAAATGGTTCTTTTCATGCTCATTGATGTGTGTGAAAAGGATGAACTTTAAGGACACACTTTATGTATTGTCTGTCATAGGAATTTTTTTTTTCCAATAAACTTTTTAAGCTTAAATACTTATCATTTGATAAAAATTGCCAAAACAATAACATTATGTAAAGTAAATAAATAAGATGACAATTATAGAAAATTATGATTTTATTGACATTTTAAAATTGTTTTAACATGCTTTTTTAATGTATAACTAGAAGACTTATTATAATAATTATTATTAATTAATAAATATTTCATCCAATATTGTTTGTCTGCTACCTGCTTCAACAATAGTTAGCACAATTCCAACAATTTATACTATTGTATTGAGACAATTAAAATGATTAATCTAGTAACTCTTTGTAGAGCCATCCCATTAATAAAATGATTAACTTAAAGCACTGGTTAAGACTGTAACTATTTACAAATGCATATTATCAGCCGCATGTTTAGACTGCACAAAAAAAGATCTATTTACTTGAAGATGATAATGATAACCAAATTCTGATTACAATAAACAAAGTTTTTATAATGAATTATAAATTAATATGCTTTTGAAACTGCTAATTTTAATAACATTAGCCAACTCATAACATTATCTGTTATTACAATAAGTGGAATTTACTTTATATAAAAATTTGATTAAAATTATTTCAAACCTATTAACTGTTAATGTTAGCAACAAACAACAACACACTGAATTAATAGTTCAAATTAACAAATTCAAATGAAAATATTAAATAATTTACTGTGTTAAATTTTAATCTGAAGACTTTTAGAAAAATTATTTATATTAAGAAATTAACTATATGGATTACAGTGATTATGTTTTCTTTTATTTAATAATGAGTCAAAAAATATAAGTACTTATTAATAATATGAATTCTGTTACCATTTTAAATACAGTAAAATTAAGATTAAACAAACCCGAAAACAAATCAACATACCAAAGTCCTGATTCATACCTCCGTCGGCTTGAACACATTCAGTTCTTCTTAGAAAACCAAGATAACCCGTACGTGCATACGTCTGCGTCGAATCACCAGTAATAAGACGTGCACCAAAATGATCATTATGGAGAGAGTCGTCTCCATATATAGTAAAATACCCACTGGCATTATGAGGAGATTGTACCCAAATCTATGTTAAAAAAAAGTCAATAAATTATATAATATTGTANATTGTTCATAGATATTATATTGTTTGAATTGTTACGTAATTTAAGTAATACGTCTGTACACCGTTAGATTTTCCTACTCCTCTTTATCCAGGAGGGCCATAGAAGAGTAGAACAGAAACATGGGGATTTTCAAGGGGTCTTATATTATGCCCATGATTTTTCAGTTAAATCTACTGTGTAAGAATAAGGAAGAGTTCGATTGCTTTCTGTTGGAATTCCTTTAGTACAGGCTCTGTCACTCCATGTTTAGTCCTATCATTCTGTCGACCATCCGGGCATTTACTTTATTAGTTAAAAATTCAGTTAACTGATTTCTGGACCACCCTTCATTTTTATATTTGAAATAATATTTTTTTTTTTCTTTTAAAAATGTTTTTTAAAAATGAAACTTCTTGTTAATTGTTTTTTAAGTTTATTTTTTTTAACGTCTGATCTCTAAATACTTTATATTTATGTGTTAAATCGTCTATTAAATTTCATTATGTTGATCTTTAATTTTAATTAAACAAATTAAAGAATAAGTTTATATTAAACTTTCTAAAATTATCTGTTGACTTTTATATTAATGTAAATGCAATATAATGAAAATAAATAATATATAAGAACATTAAAGACTGATTATAGAGAGTTTAGCCAACCACTAAAGTAGCCCACCAAATTAAAAAAAAATTCTTAAATCAATTAAAATATTTATTGCCTACACAACTGCTATGTTTTTTTTTCTTTATGGTGTTTTCTGTAAAAGCTGAAGAATTAAAACAGAAGTGTTTGCAGAAATTACTCTAAATGTGTAAATAGAAATTATTTGACTAAGAGCTCTGAACTAGGAAAACTCAGATTCACTTTTTCCTACTAATTAACATTGAACTGGAGTAGGGAGAAGGGATTGTAAGATGTGAGCTTCAATGTTGCCAACTTGTGAGAAAATTCTTTCTAGGTGTCACGATTTTGTTACATTAACAGAAGAATGAAACATTTGAGTGTCTACATGTATTCATTCACTTTACGTTCAGACTAATTATTTGCAAAATGAAGCAATGTTAATTGAAATGAAGCAGACTAATATAGCAAGCAATGTTTTAAATATGTTAAATATATGATGATTTCATAATTTTTTCCTCTATGTTAAAAAAAATTGTGTTTAATTTATGTAATAATATTTTGATTGTTTATATTATTCATAATATAGCCAAAATGTCTGACTATTGCTAGAAAATTATTTTGTATCAATTGCATTTTTTTCCCCCTCTGTTATATGCTTAAAACACTGTAAAAATGTCCTCATTATGAAGTGATTCCGTAAGTTTTGCCAGAAATAGTATATATTTTGTATATCTTTTAAGTTAATTTTGGAAAATTAATACAGAATGTAGTTCTTTAATTTTAATATTTACAAATATAAAAAATGTAAGAGTAAAAAAGTTCATCCTAAAAAAATCTTTCAAATGACAAACAATTTACTGTATTATAACTATAAATTTCAAAATAAAATTAAGTTCAATCAAACCTTAATGCAGTACAAATACCAAATAAATTTATATGTATTAGATTATCTTAATATTAATTATTGATTCCATTATTATTTTATAAGACAATAAATTTATATTATTTCAGTACAAACCTCTCCTAAATGAGAATCCCCACACTGGCCTCGTGTTTCAGGATTTGCAATAACAACTTTAACACCTGGCAAGAGTTTACCCGATTCCATTAAGCATAAGCTGTGAGGAGCACCTCTTTCGACAAGTGTAACTCTGTCATTCCTTAAAGCTCTCATATCTATATATACCATTGTGGGATCTGGACTAGAAGCACCCTATAAAAAAATACACGCAATAAATAAATATACTGTATTTACTCAAATGTAAAAGACTTTCAGATTTCAGTATGTCTGAAAATACGGTGCATTTAGAATTGGACATATTACATCAATTATTGTGATATAATATATTTCAAAACTAAAGTATGAAATTTATAAATATAATATGAATTGCATTATAATTGTATAGTTAATTCAAGAATTCTATGTTAAAGGTTCAAAAATTAATGTTTATTAAAATATTAAATTATGACATTACTTACTTGTAAACAAATTGCAACATTGACTCGACATCCAAAACTAGTACTAACTGCTCTTGGCGATAACCCTAAACTGGAGAATAATTTAGAGAAAGAGGTAGTAAGAGCAACTCGGGGTCTTTCTTCTGATACCACTACACAAGTCCTTACGCAACTCAAGTTAATTCCTCTTTGCTATAATAGAATTGAATTAAAATACAATAAACAGCAGTAATTTTGTCTAAAATCCAAATAGCAGCGAAAGAATAGACACGAATTAGCATGAAATAATGTTTTTTTTTTTTCTTACAGCTTTTTCAAATATTTGTCAAGAAGTCAAAAACTTTTAATTTAAACGTTTTCAGGATTAACGTTCAATCATCAACAATAAAAATACAGAATCACTCTAAATTCCAAAAATACAATCGTTCTATTACCATAAGAATACCATTTTAAATTGAAAAATTACAAGCATTCTATCATTAAATGAATATAATTAATTTAAATTTAAATTTAGACATACTAAATTCAGAAAAAAATTTAATTTCTAGCGTAATTCTTTCTTTTGTTATTGTGATTAGTTATGGTCTTATTCACAAATCTTTGTGCTTTGAATTAAACTTTTTTCCTCAGCTATTGTGTCTCTATAAGGAGACTTCTTTGCACTTCGTTTGTGTGTATGCAACTTTTATTCTGTAAAACTTGTTCATCTTGGTTAATTAATTCTTTTTGAGGAAAATTAACGTTCAGTTCAAAAGTCTTATAGTCATAAATTATAGGAAATCGAGAAAAGTTTGGCGTTCTAAAAAACCTCTTATATACAGTAAAACCTGTCTACGGCGACCACCCACGGTTCCTTAAAAAAGTGGTCTTTTAGACAGATGGTCGTCCAATACAGGTGGTCCTGTAATAACGTATTTTGCGCACTTTTTAGCCATTTCTACTAAGCAAAACTCGAGGTGAGCAAAAATAAGCGAATTTTTTCAACGATAGGGCTATATTGGTATTTTATTTTATTNTTTATGATAGGGTTGTCTATAAAGGACATCTACACTATTTACACATTTCATATTACTGTATTCGTAAGTGATAAAAATTTTAAGGGAGGTTGTTTTGTTGGATATCTGAAGAGGGGAAACTTGGACAATGGGGAGGGGGAGTAAAATCTTCAAAAGAAAAAAAAAATGCAGACGTAAGTTATGGACAGCCTTGTACGAGCGTTTGATGATTGATGTGTATAATTAACAAATGATGAATACTGAGTATACAGAGTACTCATCATTTGTTAATTTATTATTCACAATTCAATTTTAAAAACTGCTGTTTTCAGATTAAAAAATTCCATATATTTCTATATATAATATAAGCATTAAAATAATTAGTAAATACAGTATGATTTATAATTTTATATATATTTAAATTTAAAAATACCTTTAAATGTCCTATTGATGAACCCAATCCTTTAGTACAAAGATCCATTACTCCATAGGAACAAAAAGTGTCCCGCACTAAAATATATAAAAAAAATATTTTATTTAGAATATTCTTGATCTAGTAAAAAAAAATTGCTGAAAGTATAAAAATATTTTCATTGTTTAATGTTATATTTGCATTTTATACAGAAGATATTTGTTACATTAACACTCTAATAAACTATTTTAATATATTTATATTAATACAAAATAAAGAAGCTGGTGAGTGTCTTTCTAGGGCTATCAACTTTCCCTGAAAATATTAAATATAGGTTTGATATCTTTATCTGGTTATATGCATGGAGTTGTAATATACTACCTATTAATAGTAAGTGGAAAAGAAATTAATCCAGGTTCACTTTCCCATTCTCAAATGAGAACACCTCAATATCATTTCAGTGAATATGTTGATAAGAGAGAGCAATCACCCATTAAACCAATGCCCGAACCATCCCAATTAAAAGACTACTTACAAAGTTTATCACAAAAAAACAATTGAGTGATTGATTTGTTGAATGAAAAAACACATTTAATAGAAAAATTTAAAAGAGTACTTTCTTTTTTGTCATCACTAGAAAAAAACTGACGAACTAAGTAAAGGTTTTCAAGATCATGAGATAAGAAATAAAAAAAGTTGAGAAAGCCATTCAAATTGGTATAGAAGAAAGAGATAAGTTAAAAGAGAAATTAAAGTTGGTTTTGTATAAAAGAGACAGACAAGAAAATAAAAACAAGAAAGAATAATTTAGTTTTAGCAGAACTGAAGAGACATTCAACATCTAATGATAAAGATGTAGTTACTTTTTGAAATTATAATTAAACAAAAGCAATATTGAGGTGCAATAATTAGTAAGCATTTGCTAAGAGTTAGATGTAACTGGTTTGATTTTTCATTGAATTTAAGTTGGTGAGAAAAAGGTAAGGTCTTTTCTCATCTTTGGCCAAAAAAAAATAATATAAATAAAAAATATCATAGAATTAGTTAATTTGATGAGTTGTGTAAAAATGTAAGATTTATATAAAAATTAAAAAAAGAGAAAGAGTTAATGAGATGCTTTGAAAATTGAAAGTAAAAAATGAAATTAATATTAGAGTGTAATAAACTCAGGCAACTGAAAACAATGGAAGTTATTGCAAGACAGTAGTACTAACTTATAAGTAAGTGGGAAAAATTAGCTTGATCTTGAACGTAAAAAAAGGCATTAAGGAAATGTTTTCAACAGAAATGAAAATTCTTATTGTTATGTTCTGCAAAGAAACTATTGTGGACCAAAATAAGAGAAATTATTTGCTGATGAAGGCACCTGACAATTTTAGAATAAGTCAATAGGTATGGTAGGGAAAGGAAAGTTTCTCCAGATACAATAGACTGTAGAATATGGACTTAGTTCTTGAAAACATGCTGTAGCAGGTACTTTGAGCTTGGTGGATTAAACAATTCAAGTTTTTGATCCCTTACTTGAGCCAGAAATTGAATTTAAAAATTGAATGAAACAATTTTGAAACTTAAATCAGGGAAGGTTCCAGGTCCTGATGGAAAATAAATGAAATGTATAAAGGTTTTATCACAAAAAACTTTAGCCAAAATGTTTAAATCAATAAAATTAAGACATCAATGCTATTCCTGATTCCTGGAATGAGGATGTGCTTAAGATGATATATAAAAGCTGAGACCCAAAGTAATCCACTTAATTATGAACCAATCTCTTTAATGAATGTAACCCGTCAAATCTTTAGTGCAATATTATCAGATAGACTTCAAAAAATGTCTTCCCAAATACAAAGTTTTGTCAATGTATCCTGGTACTTTTATATCAGGAAGAGATACTGATTATAACGTGTTTATTTTTAAATAAATTGAGTCAGAAAAAGAAGAAAACTTTTTGATCATTTATGGGACTTGAAACAAGTATATGACAAGACTGATCATAATATCCTCTAAAATAATCTTACTTCATTTGGTATATCCTTAACTGTAGTACAGTAAGCTTGGTATTAAAAATTAATTAAGTAAGAAAACAGACTTCTAATTTTTTTGAGATTTTAATGGTTTATGCACAAAACCTTATGTTTTAAAGAGAAAATGGATTACTTATATAAAAATGTTTGAGTTTAATTTAACATTTTACCCTAACAATTTTTTTAGTGAACGATATTCCAAAATAATTCTAATAAAATAAAAATTTAAATTGAAATTTTTCGAATTTAAAAAAATAATAATAAAACTTTGAAATGGTATTTAAATAATTTGAATTGTTTGAACAAAATTATTGTTAATGCCTGAAAAAAGTCAATTGAAAACATTTTTTGTGATAAATATTCTTTATAATTTAAGGACAATATTTTATTATAAATACTTTTTGATAACGTAAATACCATATAATCAATTATAATAAAAATAACTTGAATATTCAAACATAAAACTCAAAAATAAATATGACTCAAGTTAAATGTTTTTATTTGATTTGATTTTAATAAAAGATATTACTAATATGCAATCATTAATTTTATTTAAAATCTTATTTAGATTAATATGGCATAAATAGCATGGTTTTTGAAATGACAGCAATACTAAACATATATAACACATTTGAAAATAATTATGACAAGTGTACCTTTATATTGACTGACAGTGGACAACCATAATGCTGGATTTATCTCTACTTCTGACGGTGGTATTAAAATAGAATGATGACCAGAATATACACTAGAATATAATATTTTATATTAACAATAAAATTAATTTTTTCAAAATAAAATCTTAAAAATATTCTACATAAAAGATGAAAAAAGTTAGAAACTTATTCATATTATAAATTTTAATAAGGGCTTTAAAAAGATCAGAAATTAATTTCTCTCTCAGTTTAAATTCTTTGTTAACTAATCATAGTAACTTTATAGAAAGAAATCCCACAATTAAGCACAGTATAGAGTAAAATAACATTGTTTGTTTGCTGTTGATTAATGTATATGTAAAAACAAAACATCTTATTTTATTTTTAAACCTTCTGTTTTTATTTTACTTAATGATTTCATTTCTTTTTCTAAAAACTCTTATTTGTCTACACTTATTTCATTTAACCCTGTTTAAAAATTGCTTAATATTTTTTCATGTTTTAAATTGATTATTTACAAAAAAATAACTTTCTTTAAAACATTCTATCAATAATAATAATAACAATGAAAAATTTGCTTAATTTAAAGTTAAGAAAAGTATTTAATTAGAAATATTTTCAGCTTTGATCTACTTCATCTTCAGTTAACAGAATACTATAAATGAAACAAAATTGTTTTGCATTTTTAACTGCAAAGTAATTCTATTTGTTTAGCTTTGAAAAACCTGCTTGACCCAGGAACATCATATTATTTGAACAGAAGTTGGAAAAAGAAATTTGTTCTTTACTTTTCTCATAAATGACATCTTATACACTGCAACAATATTCATGAAATAATATATAAGTTTGAACTCATAATACAATTCTAGTAAATCCTCATCATCAATTTCTCTAAGTTTAAAGAGTGATTGTCACAATGGAAATACAGTGGTACCTCGGTATACGTCTGCTTTAGAATACGTCCAATTCAGAATACGTCCTGTTTGGATGAAACAAATTTTGCTCAATATACGACTTTTGTTCGGTATACGACATAATTCAATTATACGCGCCATCAATGAACAAGTAGCACTATTGATGTACTAGACCAGATTAGACGTTCACGGTGCAACGGTTTATAATTTTGTTAAATTTCTTCTGATTTTAATTCGTAAGTAAAATTTTATTATTTTTATTACTCACGAATCGCAAAAAGGCAAATGAAAAGCGACAGAAAACTAAAAAAATGACTAGAATTACAATGGAACTGATAAAAGAGATTGTTGAGAAATACAAAGGTGGCACGCGTGTTCGAGATTTTAACTGTTGCCTACCATATTCCGAGAATGACAATATGGACAATCGCAAAAAATAAAGACATTATTAAATCTGCTAATGTTGTGAAAGGGGTTAAATCAATTTCTAAACAGAGATTGAAGACATTAGTATCACGTCGAGAAATTGCTTTTGCTTTGGATAACTGAAAAACAGTGCTGGAGACAGCGTAATGAAAGAAATTATTTGCGAGAAAGCTAAAAAGATACACGTTGATCTCACGAAAAATCAAGCAGGAACTAGCCAGGAAAGTGAGGTGTTTAAAGCCAGCCATTTTTTTTACACAAGAACGGATTAATCATTTTTACATTACTTCTTATGGGAAAGGTTGGTTTGATATACGTCCAATTTGGTATAAGTCCAAACATCAGTAATGGATTAAGGTCGTATACCGAGGTTCCACTGTACTTTCAAATATTATCTCATTTATTTCTGGCTCAATATTATTATCTATATAAAACGCTTACTTTCAAGTCGCCAGCTGTTTAAATTTTTCATGAAGAAACATTTTCATCTCTTCAGAAATATTTTAAAAATGGACATCCTTTGGTTCAATTCAGTTGTGATTGCCTATGCACTTCCATTTTCAAGAAAATGTTAATCATGTCACACATCTGTTTTATTGTTTACTCAGATATCATTTCTGTGTACAGCACTGCATTTTAATATACCCTATTATTTGCCCACCTGCCTCTGAAAATAATCAGTAATGAATGACAATAGGTCATGTCATCCATTGCCTTTAGACCTATATACATTCAGTAATCAAGCACTCCTTTGTGAAGGTATGGCCAGAGTCTAGTGTTTGTGTTGTCTTACTTCTTTAACTTATTTAAATATTTTTTTGCATTTTTAATGAGACTAATCTGAATTTAGAAATTGCATTTAGTAGTAATACTATTAAACTATATTAAAATATTATCACATTATACTGTAAATTGGAACAGTTTCTTTGTTTTATTAAAAAATATATGTCAATATAGTCTTTGTATAATTTCTGCATGTACAGTGAAATCTAGACTCATTTTTTTGAGAGACCTAAAATAACTATGGGTATAAGAAACCAATAGATGATGTAGGACTTTGTTTTATTTCTTTTTTAAAAGTCATTGATCTTAAACTTCATTTATTTAATACAATTTTTCTTTTTGAAACTGCTGAACAATAAACTTTCAATATTTATGATGTTTGCCTAGTCTTTCTTCACCACCACTAACCTTACTTTGTAGTTTATGACACTTGTAATAAACTACAGAGCCATTGTCTGATATGTAAGATGCATGCAAGATCACACAGCTAATAATTGCACACAGTTTGAACCACTACTTGCTATATCACATTCCAAAAACATTAACTGATGTTGCTAATATCAATGCATACCAATATTTGTGTGTAATGTGATCACTTTTAAGAAAGAGCAATCTGAGATTAACATTCTTCATTCTTCAGGACTAAAAATTCTGACCAATAGATATGGAAAAACAATTAATTTAGGAATGATTAATGTGCATTTAATTTCCATAGTTTAAGACCACAGAAATTGAAAAATGTTTTCATGAAAGCATTATTCCAATAAATTGAATTTTCAATGTATATATAACTTTATATTAACAAACAGAAATGCATATTTCTGCCAGGATAAATTTCCCATCTTATAAGATGCACAAAAAAAAAATGAGGAAAAAAATTACTCTGTATATAATAAAATGAATACATTAGATTAGGTCTGAGAAAAATGAAGCTAGGAGCATATGATGAAAACCTAATTATCCTAATTTTAGTACCGTGGTATAAGAACAACCAGAAATATACACAATTATAAGTTACTAAGAACACAAATGAGAAAATAATTCTTATATATAAAATGACCATCAATCTGAAAAAACTACATATTCATAATACAATCAATCTACTTGTCATTTGTTTCTCTTGCTGCAATCACTAACTAATAATTTCAGCCAAATTTATCTCAAATTTTTGTTAGAATAAACATTATAAAGGCAATACAAAATAGTCATTGTCAGTCTAATCATTTTCTAGCATTCACTAATATCAAGTCAAAAGCTCTTGCTAAAAAGCCCATCCAGATGACTTTCTGTAATGTGCTTTAGATTTTCATATCTTAAGTTATTGAAAATATCTTTTTTCTAATAATTTTTACTAAAGTAGAATGCATCTTACAAGACAGAAAATAAATAAATTTTTAATTATTAGTGTAAAATGAAAAGATTATACAATTATTATGTAGAAATTATGTCAAATTAATTTTTATATTTTTAAAGAGATTAAAAACAAATTTACCTATTTAAGCACCACAAAACAAATCCTAAGCCACAATAAGGATCCAAACATAAAGCTATATGTCTCGAAGGATATAACTCACATGCTAATTTCATACTCCGACACAAAGAAGTTGCAGCAGTATGAGATACCTGTTTCAAATTAAATAAAATTTATGATTTTTTACATAAAATAATAAATGACATAATAGTTTTAACAATAAATGAAAAATACTTTTCATTATTTATTCATCAATCGATAAGACAATCAAACAAGTTTATTTATTGTATTAAAATCTTTAATAATCTTAAATGATATAATAAATAAGCTTTAGTAACAGTAATTTTAAAGATACTAAATATATTATCGTATATTAGACAACTTAAATTCTAGAAATCAAAAATATTTATTGGCTAAACATTTAATACTTTTGAAGTTTCTCCTAAAAAATATTAGTCCTAAATTTTGTACATTCTTAAAAATATGTCTGATAGTTGAACAATAGGATTAACATCCTATCCATCCTAAGCATTTTATAAAGGAAGTCCATTTCCAGAGAACTAAAATGAAAAGCTATAAAATCTTAATAAAAATAGACAGAATGACAATTATATTTTAAAAAATCCACAAAATTCTTGTCCTGGTTATTTTTATTACCATTTATATATATTTTTTAATTATGCCATCACCAAAAGATAAGTTATTTTACATGCTTTACATACTTAAATGGACAAGAATCTACAAGAAAACATCAACTTTGCTGTTAGACTGTTATTCCCAAGGTGCGATATGGACAAACAAATAAAGCTTTTGTGTTTTTTTAATTACTTTTGTAAATTATTTTTTAAACTACAAAATTTCGTAAAATTATTAGTTTTCAAAATACAAGTTCAATATAATATTCAATAATAAAAATAATTAATGTGTGGAATGATGCACAGAAAATGAATGGGAGAGATCTATAATTATAAATTAATTCTAATCACAAGAAAGCCTTTTCTCTTTTACATATAAATTGAATCTCTGGCTACTAAAATTGCAGCTGGATGATTGAATAGTTAAGGTATTATCCTACTGCTCTAAAGATCTGGAAATAAATCTGGTCAGGTTAAAAATTCCTAGAAATTTTTCAAGTAGTAGTCCAACCCAGAAATGATGGCACCACCCCATTCTGGGCCTGATAAAAAGGCCCTCTTAGTGCCCACAGGACAGAAAGAGTTTATATACAATATATAAAAAGACTACTACTACTAATTCAACTTGATCAAGAACAATTTATGTAATTTACTTTTTCAATATTTTCATACAGCTTTGAACCAGAAATAAAGCCTTAGCATTTTGTTAAGTTTTACTTTTGAGTCTTTTTTTTGTTTTATTTAGATAAACACATCATAATAATTAATATAAACAGTGACAAATATTTTTTGTATTAGAGAAATTTGTGACATCAACATTAAATTAATAGTTTCAAACTTTAGTAAAATAACTGAATATTTTATTTAATTAAATAAATACACTAAGTAAATAATATAGTATTTATTTTATAGTTTCAACTTATTACTTACTTTTATTCCTGCTAACATCCCTGTTGTACTGACACTGAAGTCTAAATAAGCAATCATTTCTGGAGTAGGTGCTCGATAAATGCTTGCAAGTTTCTTTTTAGGCAAATCATCAGTTTCCATAGTTAAAGGCCATGATTTAATATCCACCACATTTCCTGCTTCTTTTGACTTGAGCAACTTAATCACAGGTGCAGTTGAAAGAATTAGAACAGATCTACTCACATCAACAATCATTCTTACTGTTGGTAGTGTTGTTTGGAGATTCTGTGGATGAGGTGGTCTTATTGTTACAGGAACAACACCTATAATTATAATTAATATCTATTTAAATTTTATAAAGGAAGAATCAACAAGTGTCTTTGTAATTTATCTAGTAAAAATAATTGGAATATACAACAATAAGAATTCAAATCTAATCATAAAGATTTTTTTCATTCACTTCCATTCCATGTATATTTAATTTTTCATCATGTAGTGTTATTAGTTTGATTATTATAGAGTATATGCTTCACCTTAATTATTCAAAATATAAAAAATACTTTGTAAAAATATTCATAATTATTATTGTATCTTGTTTATATTTTTTAAATTTTTTTAGGCTATTTTTTTCTTTTGGGATATAAATCTTTTATCCTCAGACGTTTCCTGTATGTAATTATAATAAAATAATCTCATTTAGTTTATAGTCAAATATATGTCTTGAAAAAAAACAGACAATTTATATTAGTTAAAAAAATTAATATAATCTTAACAGAATTTAACAAAGGTTAATTTTAATCAAAATGTTCATACATCATCATCAAAAAAGCAATAAAAATTCATTCATAAAATAATACATACCAACATATAGGCAACCATAGAAGGCACAGATCAGATCAATACCAGGAGGATAAATCAAGGCTACATGATCTCCTGTATTTAATTTTCCTTTTTCTAATAATAAACAACCTACTCTCTCTGCTCTTTTATGTAACTGAGAACAAGTTAATGAGGCAGCATTATTACCCTGTTAAAAGAAATATTTTATGTATTTATCATAAATATGTAAAATATTTATAATGATTGAAATTAATGATTTAATAATCAGTAAATAAATTATTAAATTTAATTAAAAAATTATTGTAATTATTAATTAATATTAGTACAAGATAGCAATCTAACTTCATTCCTTTCTAAAAATTTATTTTATATTAATTGTTAATAGATAGTCAAATTTCAGGCTTGGTTATATATATATATATATATAATACCTTATAAATAGCATGTCTTTAACTGTCATGCTTTCCATAACTGCTTCAGAGTCACAGGGATTATAATGATCTAGGTTATGTGAAAATTATTTCCATTCTAGACATTTTTTGTAACATATATGTCACCAATAGTTATCCACATAAAATTATAGTAATTTTATTTAATTTAATGATGAACAGATTACAAAATGAAAATCATGGATGGACATCCAAAAACCCACTAGACAATTCTGGCATTTAAACATGTATAACAGGGATGGCCAACACGTAGACCGCGGTCGACCGCAAAGGTTTTGAAAGTAGCCCGTGAAGCTAAAGTTGAACAATTTGCTTTCACTTAAATTAATGTTTAAAAATCTTAATTCGATAATTTATTCTTACAATAATAGATTGTCTGTGCAACGTACCCTGTGCAATTGTTTATCTGGATAAATACTGTTTGTATTTATCCAGATAAACAATGCAAATGAATGTTAACGCATGCGCATATAAAAATCCTAAAATTGTTTGCCCATATTCATAGTTGCCCGCAGACTACATTTTACCAAAAAAGTAGCCCCTAAGGGATAAGGGATAAAAGTTTGGCCACACCTGATGTATAATCTGACCTGCAGTCATTTTCAAAATATATATACTATAATAATTTGAATTCGCATTTAATTTTCCTTATTAATAAAATAAATTATATGTATACACAATGTAAGGAATGGCATTTTCATGACAATTTTTTGATTACACATGGTTTTAATAAGTCTAAATGTAATTCTACCAATAATGGAAAGCTAAAAAACTTTGGCCTACATGAACCTTACAGATATTTTATTTGTCTGATTTTGCATTTTCTCATGTCTTGTGTTATTTGTAGCACGTGTTTCACATTTCTGATAGAAATGAGTGTTGGAAAGCTAACAACACTTATGCTGAAGGAAAAATATAAACTTGTGTCTAAATCTGTATGTAAGAAAACTTTGCAAGCCAAATTTGTAAAACAAAAAAACCTTCCAAGAACAACATTGTTGGGAATCCTGAAGAAAAAAAAAGGAAATTAAGAAACTTTTTCTTGGATCTTCATCATGGCTGTCTCAAAAACGCCAGAGAAAGTTGCTGTACAAAGAAGCTCTGGTACGTTGGCTAAAGCAAATTTATTCATTGAATCTTCCTGTTTCAGGGCTGATACTGCAACAAAAAGCGATGGAAATCACTGAGGTACTTGGAGTAGAAATCAACTTTACTGCCAGTGATGGAATGTCAGAGATACATTGCATGTACTGTATAAAGAACTACTGTATTTTCATAAATGTAGTTTTGTGGTTTTTTTAAAACTTAGTCGTCATATTGGATAACTGAACATATTTCCACTTATCCTTGGGGTGTCGACTTATGCGGACTCGACTGAACTTGGTTCAATTAGTATTGCCAAATGATTTGCTGGATTATTTATTGGGCTATATATCTAATTATAAAATTAGCATTAATATAGCCTGATAAATAATCCGGCATATTTAGAAATAATATGTTGTAATTTATTTTTAAAAAAAGCTTCAAGTACCTTTGAATTTAACAGCGTAAAAACAGTATGGTCTCCTGTCGTTGTTGCACGCCATTTAAGTATTTCAGAAATAAACTGATATTTTCGGGCTGTATCACTATCATCGTCAACAATGCCAACATCTCGTCCCTGGGCAGAAGCTAAACGAACTCCTTGTACCATATTTCCTACCATAACTGAGGCTGGTCCAACTTCTGAAACAAGTAATTTTTAATTTACACATTTACAAATAATAAATAAATATCCATTTACAAAAAAGATTAATGCCAAATGATTGCTAGATTATATCAGGCTATAATTAATGTTATTATTAGTAATTTAACCTTGAGGTAGGCCAAATTATTTAACAGTAGTAAATAATAGCATTAATATAGCCTGATATAATCTATCAATCATTTGGCTTTAATCTTAAAATATCTTTTTTTACTTTGTATTAAACAACAAGTAATATATTTCAAGATGATAATTTAACCATATTTATCATTTTAATTCAAAATGGTAAAGATATCATGAAGAAGAATTACTAAAAGACAGTATTGACACAAGTGTCAAACACACTATGAAATTTAATAAATGCACTTCACACGTCGCAATAAGAATAAATTATTATAAAAATATTTTCTTACTGCAATAATTTTTAATATAAATATGTAAGCATACAGAAGTATAAATAAAAAGTTACCAAATGTTTTACTTATACAAAGCCAATGATGACAAAGATTCTTATTGAAAATAAAAATTTTATCATCATTGGCTTGGTGATAAATTAGTAATTTTAAATTTATAAAAGCTCACTTTTAATTTAATATGTACAGCAATCAAAGCTGTATTGAAATGATTTCTGCTATTTGATTTAATAAAATTTATTAATGAGAACAATTGTTTACAATTATATGTTAAACCAAACATTGTTAAAGCTGTTTCTACTATTTCCACAAATCTGAATGAATTGTGCAATGAATACCATTTTAGTTAAAATTATATTTTCAATCTTTTTCTTCTATAGACACATTTTCATTCATGTCATTGAAAATGTTCTCTCTATATTTACATTTAATTTAAGGAAATGGTTTCTCCACATGGTATTATTTCAAAACCAATCAAAAAATTTCATCTCTAAGTTTTTAATATTAAGCCAATTGAAGAAAGTTAAATTGAAGACTTTGAAATTGTAAATTTTACATGATTAAAAAGTGTAAAGATTTCTTGAAACTGAGCAATCTTTTGCAAAATATTTCTTTTGTGCCATTCATTACAGTAGAATATTTTTTAATTTTATTTTTTTATTTTCAACATTGCATTAAAATACTTGTATACCTACAATAAAATAGTTTACTGTTATTTAGTTTTAATGCATTATTAGATTAATGCAAAATTCAAAATAGTTAAAATAGTATAAAATTAGTTAGTTAAATAACAACTGATAAATACAGCATGTTTGGTTTACATAACTTATTTCATCCCTGGAACACTTCCAAATTTTTATAACTCAATATCAAAATTTTAACATATATTCTTTAAACTGTGATATTTAACTAATTTTACATAATTTATCACTATTTTGAAATTATTAATATCTTGTTAATTAATTCATATTTTTACCTGGATGTACTTCCCTTGGTTTTGGCAGGTTTGTAACACAAGTGTGTGGACACATTAATACATTGGCTGGATGAAGACTGCCTTCCAGAAACCTATGCTTAGTTTCAGAAAGATGTATTCCTCCTAATGGGGTCTGTTTATATAAATAATTAAACTTTATAAACAAACAATAAAATATTTTAAATTATTTATTATATGAATTAAAAATATCATAAAATAATTATTTAAATTATAAATTTATTTAATGCTATTCAATAATGAACTAAAAATAATAAAATAAAAAAATGCTACAAAGAATTTCCAGAAAGGTATTGCAATTTTTACTATACAATAGAAGCAGTGTTTTTCAACCTATGGGTGGTGACCCCCCAGAGCAAAGCCTTAAAATGGGAGGGTCATGGGTTAAAGAGAAAGACAAGTGTTTGCAGGTCCTACACTACAATAAAAAAAAACTAGAATTTCAGAGAGAAGGCTGTGCCTGTTTATTTTACAGTACAATTGGTTTTTTGATTGATATTTAAAGAAAGAAAATTAAATATGTTGTTTTTAAAATCACTGATATAGTTTTAATATGGCCCTGGGGGTTCACCAGAATTTTTTAACTTGTAAAGGGGTTGTGTATTCAAGAAGGTTGAAAAACACTGCAACAGAGCATCGATTATCTGAATACCGATCAACCGAAACATCAGTTGACCGAAAGTGTTCCAGTCGGCAAATTCAAAATTTCCACTAGGGCTGTGATGTTGCAGCACTATTCCCCTCCCTGCCAAACCGAACTGTAGGCCTAGTTTAATGTACTAATTATGTAAGGTATGTATTTGTAAGATGTGTGATACAAATTATATATAGTACAGTTTTATGTTTAATATATTTTTTTATAAATGATCAGTTATCCGAACAACCCCAGTCCCGAATTGTTTCGGTTAATCGATGCTCTACTGTATACTATTAAAGAAAAATAAATTAAACAGAGTACTTAAATTTATAAATAATTTATATTTAAAATAACAAAATGATTATGATTCACAAGATTATATCAGACATTTGTGAATATGTCTAATAATTGTATTTAGAATGGTTATACTTGATAAAATTGTTGTCAATGAAGTGAAATTAAAATTATCAGTTAATATTCATAAAATATTCATAACAACAAAAATTATTAAATATATTCAATCATACAACATACACGATGCTACCTGACAAACAAATTTTATTCTCTAATAACTCAACCAAAAAATTCTTAATTTGAGAACTTAATAAAAGAAAAATTTAATTGTTCAACAACAATTATCTAATTTACAAATTTAATCCCTTCTGTAATATCTATCATTTAACTAATTTTTGCTTCATAATCAACAAGAAAGATTTTTAATCCAGCTAATCGTCAAATTCTTGTTCAGCCGCTTTTTCTTACATTTAGATTATGCTTCTTTATTTTATTTCATAATTACTTATAGGTAACAATATCAAGATGGCTGAAAAGATAATTCAGCTTTTATTTAGTACAAATATTTGCTATAGTTGTTATAAAACAGTATTTAACATTGTTTTATAGCAATCATTGCCTAAATGTAGGAATGATAGTAAAGAAAAATTAGTCCAACAACAAATGGTTATTACAAAAGTAATTTTATATCTCAAATTTAAAATATTTTTATGGCAACTGACACAAAAGAAACTTCGTGACCAAAATATTTATAAGATAAAATCATCACATTTTGAATTCACTAAAGAGTTAATTATGAAATTTATACTTAAAATATTTATGGTGCAAATGATATAAAAAGAAAAATTTTTGGTAATGACATAACACATTGTTCCAGAAACATTTTTAAATCAGAAATCCTCCTCTTTTTTTAAAAAAAAATAAAAATTTGGTACATCCCAATAAATTTTATTATTATTTTTCAATTCTAATTACCAAATATGTAGTATGGTCTGATGTACATTTTCCTATTTTTATATCACATTTTATTAATTTTGAAATTTTCTTCTGACCAACAAAATTTTTTGAGTGCCCGTTGAGTATATATTACATACTGTTAGATCCTAGCACACAGTGATAACTTTGGTAGTAGTTTTATGTTTGTAGACATAACAAAATATATTGCATACTTCAATAACATTTTATCATGAAATATGTTAACTTACTGATAATACCTTTAATGGAAATTGTTCTAATTTAGTATAATTCATTATACAAAATTTTTGTAAAATCTTTCAATATCAACCAATTCTTATATTCCTAAATAAATGTATAGTTATGTCTATGATCTGCTATAATGTCAATAGTGTTCTACTAAAATAAACCAATTTAAGTATTAGTAATTATTCTATAAGATTTAAAATTAAGTTTAATAATAGTATAAAACTGCTGTATGTAATTATAATAAAATAATCTCATTTAGTNATAATAGTATAAAACTGTTAATTAATTGTTAGATATTTACATACTTTTGGTAAATAATTAGGTGGAACCAGAGCTAAACAGTAGATACCAACTTGATGTATACTATCAACTGCTTGTAAAACTCTGCTCATCCATTGAAAGCTCTGAAATTATAAATTATATATTAAATATTTTATTTTAAAATAATCAAACATTCTTCTTTAATAAAATTTATTTATACTTCTTCCTCTGTACAGTCAGGTCTTTGTTCAGCAATTACACATATTCTTTCATCTCTAAGAACTCTAATAGAAAATACTGCAATTCTGTAATAATAGGAAATTTTCATTCACATAATTTAAAGTAGTAAAATAAAATCATAAATTAATAATATTTAGCTTGTAATTATAAAATAATAATTAAAAGTTATAGTTATAAAAACTGTATTACACAATTCAATTATTACCTTTCCTATAAGGAAAGAAATTGAAAAATTAACTTATTAAATATACTTCTTAATCATTTAAAACTGAAAATACTAGTAATTAATTAATAAAAAAAATAATATAAATTTATACAGGAATCTGTAAATCTGTTGTAAGTGCTATTGAACTCTACAATTTAAAAAGTTTGAGTGTTATCTTTAACTTTTGTTAATTTATAATAATAAATTCGTAACTACGTAAGTATAATAATGCAATTTTTCAAATATGAAGTTTTTAAAGCTTCAAAACATCTTTATTTTATGAAGAATACAGTTATCTAAACATTTGAATAATTTAAATTCTTTTCACATAAAACTTAAAAGTTAGAAAATAGTATTAAGAATTTTAAAAATAAAAAATTAATGACTAGACCTCTGGGGAAAAAATGTTTCTTCTAAAAAGTACATGTTTAATAGTTAAACATAACTAAACCAGTAAGACTTTAAAAATTTATATATTATCTAAAAATTCTGTATTTCTGAAATGTATATACATACTGTCTACTTCTTGCTTTCCATGGTTCCAATACACATGAATTTCAGTTTCCAACATATATCATATGTGACTAATTGCATGAAGTAGAAACTTTGCTGCTAATTCTTCAATCTACAATTCACTAACACAGATGCACATCATGATCAGTGACTAACGATGTGATGTGCATCAAAGCTTTCAAAGTTACTGCACATCGGTAATAGTTCACACACACACAACAAACCTAGTGTTACAATTTTAATTTTGCATGCTTTTTCCGTAGTAAACCTCTATTCATTGTTCATTCATGTATAAAAAACAAAATTCAGTCTTATGTAAGTCAGAATAACACTTATTCTTAAACATCTCTAAAGGAATTTTTCAATCTTAGAAATTACAACAATGCAAAATTTATTTCTTTAAACCAGAAAAATTCATTTTAAAAATTACTTTCTGGCTTATTAATATTAATAGAATTTAATTAATATATTTTTAAATTATTAGATATAACTTAAAGTAAGTCATTTACTATTAAAATATTTATTTATTTACTTTAGTAGCATTGTTGTATAAATTATTCACATGCTTTGCTGTTATTTTATTTCAATTTAAATTATTTCTAGATTCTGAAACTGAATGAAAGTAATTTTTAAATAGAGCAAAAAACTTGTTTAAACTTAAGTTTTTATGCATACGTATTAATACAGGAAATTTTCAAATTAACAAATTCGAAGGGGGTGAATATTTTGAGTGTTTGATGTAAGAAGAATTCTATATATGAACAACTACAAATGTTCAGTTATGACTACAGGTATAAAATGCATTTAGAAAAACTTATTTAATAAAGCATGGAAAAACCAAACATGCATAATATTTGTTTAATTTATTTGCACATTTGCTGTATGCTGTTTATAAATGGCACTGCAATGTGTTGTACTCAAGGCATGGTTACCAGAAATTAGTCAAGGTTCACACAAATGCTTATCAAGAAGTAAAGGAATGCTAAGCCTCAAACTTTGGCTTCTAATTAACAGGCATTAGCTTTTAATGTCATAAATCTTTATATAGGGAATAAAAACTCAAAATGTTTTTAATAAGAAAAAAAAAATTAAAACATTGACATAAGTGTAAATTTTCATCAAAAGTAGTCCAATTGCTGAGAAATTGTAGAATCTGGTAACCTGTCTAGTGTCTATTCAAAACCATTCATAATTAATGAAGATAGTGTCCTCAACCTCTTATCAAAACCAATAATATTTTCAATATAGTCTGCCACAACATGAATGGCCAGAAATAAAGGAAATTTTACCAGAAAATTTTGAAATTTGTTCATTATATGGCATTATAAATATTTGTATATTGCATTTCCCAGGAATTAATTCAAATTATTAATACATTTGCTAAGTAAAATTTAATCATCAAGTTTATTAATATATAATTTTCAAAATTTTTCTGTAGAAACAAATAAAAATTTTTAACTTATATATTTGAATAAATTCTAATTAAATATAAAGAACTTTTCATTCATGTAATATTACCATTAAAATAAAAAACTAAATTATTAGATAAATCAAAAGTAACCAATGTTCAAATAATCAGAAAGTTTCTCACAAAATAAATACAATTCTATTTTACTGGATATTAAAAATAGAAACCAATAAGTTTTACTTCAAGTTTTTCAATAATGTTATAATTTTAAAAAAAATTCATTCACTAGATTTTCTGTAAATAAATGCATCATAAATTACAATGAATAAAAATTCTTCTAACTACCTTCCTCTATAAATAAATTTCATTGGTTCCACAGCAAGGACGGTTGCTATTATATCATCTGTGTTATGTTTTCGACCACTCACTTGCATTAATCCATCTAATGTACCACAAACAAACATAAGACCTCCCTAAGAAAGAAAAAAAGAAAAAAATTCTTTAAATTTATTTTCATATTAAAATCAAATCGATAAGTTATATATGAAAAATAATAAATTAATAGTAAATTTCACATGAAACTACATTTAGTTCACTGTTAAAATATATTAAAAGGTGCTGTTTATCTTTATGAATCTACAAAAATAAACATTCATAAACCTGATTCGTAGACTAATGCTAAAGCTTAAAAATCATTACATGAAAAAAGTAAATACTCAAATAAGTTTTCTTATTCCAATTGTCTTCATTTCCAATGAGTAATTAATAATACATCTATGTCACAATACAGCTAATGATAGTATTATTTTCAATTATTTACAGATTACTGTTATTGTTTTCAAAAAAGAAAAAGAAATATATTTTTTCTTAACAATAAAAGCATTTAATGCTACCTGTAAAATAAACAAATTCAAACTTAAATATTTAATATGACTAAGGATTTGTTCTAGTAAATAGAATTTCCAAATTATTCTAGAAAGAAGTTACATATAAATTTTGTACGAGTCTTCAAAAATCATTAACTTTATTTATAGCTTTAACAAAACATAAATTAATATAATAAAAATTAAAATTAGAAAGATGCTACAATCTTTAGTGGACAAATGCAAATTTCAACCAATTACTTAAGTAGGACATGATAAAATGTCCAACTCGCATGTTAGAATACATTAATAATAAGTACATAGAATACACAAATTCCGAGATGTCTGATTTTTGGTATGAAATTGCATAGCTTATGTAGCAAACTAAGTTGAAAGACGATATAGACAATAGAAAAATATTTAATTCTTATAGTGAATCGTTAAATCAATGTTAATTTTATTAACTTAAATATACAGATGAAGAAAAATGTTACAAGTGATGCCAACGAGAGTATACACATTGGCAAAAGTTGTAATATGTGAAATATTTTCAATTAAATTAATACAAGTCAAGTTAGAAAGATTTTTGAAATGATTTTCATTTAGAATTTGCAATTCCATTGGAAAATAAATACAATTTCTTGTTGAGAAAAACTTTACAAGTATAATTTTATAACTTTTGTTTATTTATGTAACAATTACAACGTAAATTTTCATTCTAGCAATTAATTAAGGGACTCGGTGGAAAAATGGTATAACCACATTAGAAAGTTAAAAAAGAAAAAAAAAAAAAAAAACCAAGGACTGTGTTCAATTCACCAACACTTTAATATGCAATGTTTTATTAATATTGGTGTACAACTTATGGGACATGCACTAATTAATTGAACTGTGAAAATTTCTTAGAAGATGGATTGATGACATACCAATCCAAATTTGTTAATTGTGAGCGTCAAATTTGTTAATTAAAATGTGAATGTCAAATGACACTTACAAGATAGCAGCGCTCAACGTTCACATTTTAGAGATGAAAACTTTGACCGCAACCTTGCTAATAATTTATTTTTTATAGTTTTATGGGATGTGCTATTTAACCACAAAGTTACTCAATTTATTTTTATATAAAGACTATGATAACATTTCTGTTATAAATAATAACTAATAAATACAAATATTAAAATATTTGAAATAAGTGCATATACTACATAAAAGTTACATTGATTATGTAAATTGTTTTTTCATTAATAATAAATTTGAAGAAACATGTAAGAAATAATGAAAATCTATTGGTATTATAAATTGTTTATATATTCTGAATAACTCAAAATAAATTTATAGCATTTTATTTTTATTTATTTACTTTGTATTAAAAAAAAAGGAAAATCAGTAGTAAATTATAAAAATTTATAAACTTACAGGTCCCATAAAGCCTAATAATCCTGAACGAATGAATACTTGATCACTGAAGGGATGTCCGTCTGGATAAAGTGGCTGTGTCTAAAACAAATAAAATTTTAATATTTATTACAAAACTGATATTTACAGAAACACATGAAAGACAGTTATATAATATGATGAGTACCTTGAAATATATATATATATAGTAAATAATAAGAATTTATTATAACATTAAGTAAATTAAAATGACATAATATACACAGAGTCTTCCAGCAAACAAAATATATTAGAATCAAATAAAAAACAGAATGTTTTTGGCTTCTTTCAGGAGCCTGCATCAAGTGTCAATTGTTACAGAACATTAGCAGAAATTCTAAATTTAGAACATTTCTTTACAAATATGTTCTTTTGACGTCCACAAAATATATTTGTAAAAAAGTTCTAAATTTAGAATCTCTGTAATGATTAACACTTGATGTAGGCCCTGAGACTGAAAATGTTCTGTTTTTATTTGATTCCTATACATATTATTTTCTGGAAGACTGTGTATGGCAAGCAGTTTTAATTTGTTATATTCCAACTTTTGGAGACTTGTGTAACATTAACTAATATATAGGGACTGAAAATTCAGTTAACCAAGATGTATTTTAAAAATCATTAAAACCAGTTAGAAATAATTATTAAATGCAATTTAGTCAATTTTATTGAAGTGATTAAACTATGAATAATACCACACAACTGTTCGTTATCAATTTTAATTGTACTTAAAATAATCTTTAAAAAAATATATATTTCAGTTAACTGACTTTTGAACTGTTCTATGTATAAAATTAAAAACATTTGTGCCAAATTAAAAAAAAAAAACTATTGAAATCTATTTACTTTGTTGTATTATTTATAATTTATTCAGTAATAAAATAAAATTACATTACAAAAGTGACAAATACCATGGAAAGATAAATATATAAAATAACTGTTGTTTTATTATCACAATATAAAAGTTGAACTTATTTACAAGTATTTGTAATAAGTTAAACTTATCATCTTCAGATAACAGAATTAAACAACATGCAAGAATAAGAACAGCTTCTATAATTAATTATAATTATTTAAATAACAAATTATTATTATTAAATGAAACAATAACAAAACTAATTATATTTTATTTTATATTATAATTAAAAAACATTATGAATTTATACAATAATTTTTATAAATTATTAATTGTTAATATTAGATTATAACATCTTGGTGTTTTTAATAAAATGTTTAACATTACCTTAAAAACTGTGTTTGTGAGACCCTGTAATCCCCAATAAGAAGAACCAGTTGCATTGCTACTAACACATATTTCACCCACCTCATCTGTTTTGCATAGATATGGCAGGCCATTGATTTTTACAACTGCTACCACAGCTAATAAAAAAAAATTATTTTCATCAATACATGATAAATAAATTTCATAAACAATAATAATTTAAATACAACCAAATATCATTAATTTTTTTAAAGTCATAATGCCATAATTTAAAAAGTTAATCATTATAATTTGGAACTAGAAATTAGCCATTGGTGTCATCTCATTTTCAACTTAATTAGAAATGATTAAATTCACTTAAAATCTCTAAAAGAAAATAATTCAAAGAGTAATTTGAACAATTGGTATAATGTGCAGATATGTTGTTATATCATCTAAGTAACTAACTGCCTTGAATTCTCTATGGCTGAAATGAAATCATAATTCTTTTCTTCCAGATATTCAAAACTAATCATTAATGGCTAAAATATAGTTACAGTTTGAAATTAGCGATAATTAATTTTCAAAACTTTTAGAAATGGCCCAAAATATGAGAAGATATTTGACTTATGATTTGTTTATTAATAATGGTTTACCTCCAGGCATAATTTGGCCACAGTCTTGTAATGTTAAAGACGTTAAACTGTTTTCTTGATCAACACGTATAACTCCAAAACTAAGAGCTGACATAGATAAAACCCCTCTTCCACTAGCACCTGTACCTGTTCTTCCAGGCCTAAAGAAATTTTGCAGGAAAAAGAAAAATATAATAATAGAATATACTTTTATTCTATTTAAAAAATATAAATATTGGTATAACTTACTAACTGAAATTTAACCAAAACATCAATTACCTTCTGATAGCAACCGTTAAAGCTTCAGACGAACTTGCACAAGGACACACAGCATCCGGTGAAAGCCCACGACTATGAAAAACACTAACAAACTGATCACAAGAAGATAATGACCCTAAAAAAGTTTTTTAAATTATATATCAAATAATTTTCCAATAACATATATTATTATTAATAACTAATATTTTATTTTATACTATATAATAATAATAAAATTATCTAATCGTACTATATTAAATATAATTAGTAATGGTAATTTTTAACCACTCAGTTAATAAAAGTAATCATCAGTTAGATTTGCTACTACAGACAAAATATTAGCAATTATTGATTAATTAATTTAATGAGTAATGATTACATTTAAGAATATTCCTAAAAAAAATGTAAATTCTACAGTTCATGCATACTGGACAACAAGTGTATGTGTACCTGTTGCCCTAAAAAAAGCTTAACACATTTCACTGAATTTGTTATTTTTGTTTAACATTTGTTTTTTTTTTTTCCTGTAAAATGAAATCAAAAGTTGTCAGGATGATTGCTGATGCCATGAAAAGAAAAGAATATATTACTAAATACTGACTACTTTAATGACTTCCTGATGAACTAAAATGCTATCGCATGCATTTGTTTTTACATCTTGTGTCACAGGAAGATGTTTTTTATGTTAATGTTTCAGGCCTCAAAGTACTTTTAAGTTTTTTGTTTAATCCACTTCACTTAGTTTACACTAAAAAAAAAAAAAAAAGTATATAAGCTATACAAATATTGTATTTGATAAAGTGAAAATTATCTAATATTTCTCTTTCCAGTACAGCTTTTCTGTAAACGTAATTCTGTACTAAACTTTTTCATAGATATGTTTGTATGTAGGTAGGTACAGTACATACATAATAATGTAATAATAATATATGTTATGAAATGCAAGAAACTAACTAATTTCCATAATTTCCCTATGTTATATTCTAGAACAGTCAGGAAAGTAACATGCAAAACTACAAACACTAGTCATAAAATGACATACAATACATACTAAACAATAAAACTGCTATTTATACAATAAAATCTGTTTATCCAATCTGAATGCAATCTAATTAATAAATATTTTCACATTCTGATTGTTTTGAATTTTAAGCAGTTTGTTATAAAAATAACAAACTGCTTAAAATTGAAAATTAATCTGTTCTCATTTTAATTACTTCATAATTTAGTAATTACCATTTGGATATATTAATTTTCTTAACGAAGGCAAACTGTTTACATGAAATTTGTTCCCTTTTGTTTTATATTTGTAGTGAAATGAATTTGTTATTATTTGTTTAATATATTTAATGATAAAATGAGAATTTAACTATTACATAACATTTGAATTTATAATAAATTTCCTGTAACTGTATATAACATGCCAGGTACATTCAAAATTATAATTATCAGTATGAGATGTTAAGTTTCCATATTATACTTTAAAACTAATAGATAATAACTGTTCTTAGCTTTAATTTTTAAATCTTAACTTAACTTTAAATAAATTTGATTCTGTTCAGTGATTACATCAAAATTAAAATAATAAAAAATTGAACAAAATGCTCTATTTAATTTTAATTCATCTACTATATTACAGTAAAACCTGAATAAACTAGAATGGCATGGTACCAAATTATTTTATTCATTTTAGCAAGTTTCCATTTTTACTACTTTTTCATTTTTATCTTTAAACTACACCAGATATGTTCATTTTTTATAGTACAAGTAAAATCACTTTTAAATGTACTGTATAAAGAAATTTTATTACTAGGCTTAATCCAAATGAATCCAAAGTGATTCCAACTAAAGATGGAGTATACAAATGTAAGAATTGATAACTATTCTATTGCAAAAAATTCTCATTGTTCCTAAGAACTTGTGCTATATACTTGAATATGTGTCATACCATAACAAACAGGACAATTCAAGTTTCAAAAACTAGTGTCTTGATTCGCTGTCAAAAATTCTAATTACATTACAATAACACAGAGACTAAGTTGTTCTGTGATCTGACTTCTCCAGAATTTTAATACTCCAATCTCTGTAATTATCAACATGTTTATCAACTTGTTTTCAAATATTTGGTACTATTTAGCTATATTAACTATTCTGTACAGGAGAAATAGGTAACACCATGTTATCCTAGTCTCAGTGTTTTCACAAATTATATTCATTTCTTGTTCTCAAGAACTTGTTTAATTCTTGAAAATTCTTGATTTTTTAAAAATATTTGATTTTGCTCCTGGTTAATTCCAACAAAGACTAAGACTGACATTGGAGGAGAAAGTCCAATTTCTCCAATGTCCTGCACAGCTTCACCACTATTTTTCTGTAAGACTTGGCCCGCAAGTCCATATATGTAAAGCACATCTGACTTTGTATGTATGGCTATGCTGGCCACGTCTTATAGGAAAACAAAGATTAATATTAACAAAAACGTTTTGCCCGTATATCCTCGTCATGTGCCCTTCATTTCTTTAACATTCAATATTGTTCTCAGAATACATTTTATCATGTTCTGTAGTAATGGCTATACTTGGAGACAGTTTACTTATTTGCCTACCAGCGAAATTTTGACTTTCTGCTTTATCCATGTTATGTTACATTCTTTGTACCCAAAAGCCTCTTCTGTTTCTACATTGAACAGATTTCCAGCTTTTAGTAAGATTCAACAGAAAAACTGCTTTATTCCAAAGAATTTTTTCCATTTAGGCAGGTTTCCAATTTATTCAGTTCTATTTTAGACAAGCTTTACTGTAATTATAAGAATAGTAAATAAAAAAAACATCCTTTATATGATAAAAGATGTTTTTTTTCCTTATAATCTTATAAAATTCTTATAAAAATTTAAAATTTAAAAAATCTTATGAAAATTTAAATTTATTGTTTTTTCATTTATTAATACATTTTGATGTATCAAGGATAATTACTTATACTTTTTCCTTTTTTTTGTCTTGAAGATTCAGTTTTATTCTTTCTTTTCCTGTCTTCTCAATTAATAAATACACCAAAATGTTTTAATAATTAAATACAAAAACAGAAAATTTAAATTTATAAAAGATTTGCTGATCAAATAAAAATTTCAAATGATTTCATTTTCTCTCTATAACTGCAGTAAACATTTTTGTCTATTACAAGATAAAGTAGAACTTNACGAAATCTTAGACAGCTTGGATACAAGAAAATTGATAGCAGATTTCACAAACAAAGGCAAGAAGAGTTAAATTTCTGTAGATAAATATTTATATGGTTTTACATCTAAGAAAACAAAAATAATTTAGTAATAAAAATAAATAGTTTTTCTTTGTAAAGTATTTCTTTTCTTTTTTCACACCCTTATGAAACAACACTAAAGAGCCTTTCTGGCAAGCTCATCTTAGGTAGTCGTAGTTAAACAGGGCGGCATAATCGATATTGCACACGAGCGTTCAAACAGCTAGCAGCACTTCTGATTATTATATCTTAAATATAAATGCAATTTAATGAAAGTCTAAAACCCATTTACTGTACATTGCTAACTGATCGATAAGAATCAGTTGAAGTAGAGATCTACATGAATTGGTTTTTATTGATGAAATGAACACAGATAGTTGCAAAAAAATGAACAAATTCAAATTATTCTTGTTATACTGTTACTAAACTTTTTAATTTCTTTTTTGCTTAACAGGTTTGCAACATTGTGTATCGCTGCTGCTGCTGCTGCTGCAGCAGCACAACAGTAAAATTAGATATTTTGTAGATGGAGTATATTTTTATACAAGAAGTTTATCTTTGGTTTGCTGTCAAAGAATTTTACCATCATGTCTCAGTTTTGAAGCATAAACACTTCATATATCATTTATATCATCAAAAGTAGTTAAAATGTAATAAAAGCATCTATATTGATAAAAAAATAAAAATTTATCAAATTTTTAATTATTTATTGAAAAGAAATGCAAAAGAATGTTTTCTTTTAAAATGTAACAACCAGTTTTGTCAGAACTGAATATTTTAATTTTATTTTTTTAATGCAAACTACTTATGCAGTTACTGAAAAGCATTTAATCTTAATTCAAAAATTAATATTGCTTGAAACTTTATAGAAAGAATCAAAATCTTTTGCTGAATGTTTACACAGGAATGTTTTCTGTATGAGAAATGAAGTAATCAAAGAAGTAATGCATAGACCATCAAAAATTTGGTTAGTGATCATATATTGTCAACTACATAAATTACTAGATTTATAACTTGAAATGTTGTGGCAATTTTATGAAATAAATGCATTTGTCATGATGCCTCAATAACACGTTGCAATGAACAAAAAGTTTACAATTTCAATGGTTTGTGTTATCAGAATAAATTTTTTCATTTTTGTCTTGCTGCATGACATGCAACAATATGATATTCAAATATATTTATGAATATGGTGTACATACATACTTTTAAAATTTGTAATGTATCAAATATTAAATCTCTTAAAATTTTAACTTGAAAACTTACCCATTGGAGGAGGATGGGGCATCATTGCTGGATGCGGAATAGGTGGCGGTGGTAAATTTTGTGCAGTTGGTGCAAGATTGAAATAATTGTTTGTTAATTCATCAGGTGGTGGAGGTAAAGCTGAGAAAAACAATTTAAGATTCAGAATTATGTTATCACAAATTCTCGATATTTGTAATTCAGAAAAAATATTACCTCCTGGAAGTCCTGGAACTGGTTCCAATTTCTTCCCTTCTCCTTCTTTAGTAGTGGGTACAGAAGATTTTGCTTGAGACCTACCCCATTTAATTGTCAATCTCCTACCACATAAAATAAGTTTATTAAATGCTTTTTCAGCAGCTAATTCAGCAGCAGTTCTTGTAGTAAACTGTATAAAAGCACATTGTTGTCTTGCCAACATAGTTATGGACCTAATTTCTCCAAACTGATAAAAATAGTCCCTAAAATAAAAATTTCAAATGTTATTATTATTTTAAAAGTAATATTACAAAGCATAACTGCATAAAACAATTTAAAAAGCAACTACTTAAGTAAAAAAATATATATTTCAATATAAAAATACACTAAAAAACATTATATGAAATTATAATGTAAAAAGCTGACTTTTAAAAAAAAATCTTATACAAGAAAATAAGTGAAATAAATAAATAAATGGTAGCGATGATAAATGGTAAACAATTTTTTTTTTAAATTTATAAAAATACTAGCTGTTATCCACGACTTCGCCTGTGCGGATTTTGCAAGCAAACCCCATTTATATTCAATATTTCAACAACCATAGTAATTGTTATATAACACCTACCGCTGAGAATCAAAGGAAATGTTTTCAATTTGATCAATTTTCTGGAACATTTACAATCATTCTATAATCGAACCAATATGTAATAACAAATTCAAATTTAAAATGGTTCGAATATTTGGTTAAAAAATCGAAATATATAAAAATATTTATAACAATGTCTGAAATGTTATCAATTTAAGGGAAAGTATGGAAATCAATTTTAAAAGCCATTCTTCAGGTTAAGCATTAATGCTCTCCCTCTCCCCTGCAGGGGAATTTTGAAAAATCCCTTCTTAGCATGCATTTTCATGATGTACCCTAACTGTGTACCAAATTTCACCACTTTAGGTTCAGCGGTTTGCTCTGGGCAGTGATAAATCAGTCAGTCAGTCAGGACAAGTAATTTTATATATTTAGATATAATACTTAATATAATAATTATAATTGAAATGAAACAGTTCATTTACATAGATTATTAAACTATATAAAACTTTTAATTTTGCTAGAAATTTAATTGAAGATTTTTCCACAAAAAAAAAAAATGAGTATTTCTAAGATAAATACAAAATTTATAAAATAAAACTAAATTATTTTTCTATTTCACAGGTAAATTTAATTGATAAAAAGATGTTTTTCTATATGTAACAAACTATTTGTAAAAATTTCAAAAAGACTACTATAAAGTTTTTCCAATATTGAGATCACAGAATTAAATAATCAGGGCCTCCTGCCCCTAAGGTTTTCATATCTGGTCTCGTCTTTCATCTAGCTAACTCCATTCTCAAGATTAAGGAAAGGCAGATAGATGGATAGACAGACAACAGTGAGAATTTATAGGTCTAAAATTTTTCTAAATTGAAGCAGGAAGTATGAATAAAATAAACTAAAAAGAATATTATAAAAAAATTTAAGGCATTATAAAAACTAATCTCTATTGAGAATAAGTGAGCCAAGCCTATGAGGTGAGCGAGTCAAGTGAAGCAAAGTATGAAACCATGGAATCGAAACAATTTTCTGTGGAACGTTCAAAAAACATGATGTTTAACCAATAAAAAAAAAAAAAAAAAAAAAAAACCAAGGACTGTGTTCAATTCACCAACACTTTAATATGCAATGTTTTATTAATATTGGTGTACAACTTATGGGACATGCACTAATTAATTGAACTGTGAAAATTTCTTAGAAGATGGATTGATGACATACCAATCCAAATTTGTTAATTGTGAGCGTCAAATTTGTTAATTAAAATGTGAATGTCAAATGACACTTACAAGATAGCAGCGCTCAACGTTCACATTTTAGAGATGAAAACTTTGACCGCAACCTTGCTAATAATTTATTTTTTATAGTTTTATGGGATGTGCTATTTAACCACAAAGTTACTCAATTTATTTTTATATAAAGACTATGATAACATTTCTGTTATAAATAATAACTAATAAATACAAATATTAAAATATTTGAAATAAGTGCATATACTACATAAAAGTTACATTGATTATGTAAATTGTTTTTTCATTAATAATAAATTTGAAGAAACATGTAAGAAATAATGAAAATCTATTGGTATTATAAATTGTTTATATATTCTGAATAACTCAAAATAAATTTATAGCATTTTATTTTTATTTATTTACTTTGTATTAAAAAAAAAGGAAAATCAGTAGTAAATTATAAAAATTTATAAACTTACAGGTCCCATAAAGCCTAATAATCCTGAACGAATGAATACTTGATCACTGAAGGGATGTCCGTCTGGATAAAGTGGCTGTGTCTAAAACAAATAAAATTTTAATATTTATTACAAAACTGATATTTACAGAAACACATGAAAGACAGTTATATAATATGATGAGTACCTTGAAATATATATATATATAGTAAATAATAAGAATTTATTATAACATTAAGTAAATTAAAATGACATAATATACACAGAGTCTTCCAGCAAACAAAATATATTAGAATCAAATAAAAAACAGAATGTTTTTGGCTTCTTTCAGGAGCCTGCATCAAGTGTCAATTGTTACAGAACATTAGCAGAAATTCTAAATTTAGAACATTTCTTTACAAATATGTTCTTTTGACGTCCACAAAATATATTTGTAAAAAAGTTCTAAATTTAGAATCTCTGTAATGATTAACACTTGATGTAGGCCCTGAGACTGAAAATGTTCTGTTTTTATTTGATTCCTATACATATTATTTTCTGGAAGACTGTGTATGGCAAGCAGTTTTAATTTGTTATATTCCAACTTTTGGAGACTTGTGTAACATTAACTAATATATAGGGACTGAAAATTCAGTTAACCAAGATGTATTTTAAAAATCATTAAAGCCAGTTAGAAATAATTATTAAATGCAATTTAGTCAATTTTATTGAAGTGATTAAACTATGAATAATACCACACAACTGTTCCTTATCAATTTTAATTGTACTTAAAATAATCTTTAAAAAAATATATATTTCAGTTAACTGACTTTTGAACTGTTCTATGTATAAAATTAAAAACATTTGTGCCAAATTAAAAAAAAAAAACTATTGAAATCTATTTACTTTGTTGTATTATTTATAATTTATTCAGTAATAAAATAAAATTACATTACAAAAGTGACAAATACCATGGAAAGATAAATATATAAAATAACTGTTGTTTTATTATCACAATATAAAAGTTGAACTTATTTACAAGTATTTGTAATAAGTTAAACTTATCATCTTCAGATAACAGAATTAAACAACATGCAAGAATAAGAACAGCTTCTATAATTAATTATAATTATTTAAATAACAAATTATTATTATTAAATGAAACAATAACAAAACTAATTATATTTTATTTTATATTATAATTAAAAAACATTATGAATTTATACAATAATTTTTATAAATTATTAATTGTTAATATTAGATTATAACATCTTGGTGTTTTTAATAAAATGTTTAACATTACCTTAAAAACTGTGTTTGTGAGACCCTGTAATCCCCAATAAGAAGAACCAGTTGCATTGCTACTAACACATATTTCACCCACCTCATCTGTTTTGCATAGATATGGCAGGCCATTGATTTTTACAACTGCTACCACAGCTAATAAAAAAAAATTATTTTCATCAATACATGATAAATAAATTTCATAAACAATAATAATTTAAATACAACCAAATATCATTAATTTTTTTAAAGTCATAATGCCATAATTTAAAAAGTTAATCATTATAATTTGGAACTAGAAATTAGCCATTGGTGTCATCTCATTTTCAACTTAATTAGAAATGATTAAATTCACTTAAAATCTCTAAAAGAAAATAATTCAAAGAGTAATTTGAACAATTGGTATAATGTGCAGATATGTTGTTATATCATCTAAGTAACTAACTGCCTTGAATTCTCTATGGCTGAAATGAAATCATAATTCTTTTCTTCCAGATATTCAAAACTAATCATTAATGGCTAAAATATAGTTACAGTTTGAAATTAGCGATAATTAATTTTCAAAACTTTTAGAAATGGCCCAAAATATGAGAAGATATTTGACTTATGATTTGTTTATTAATAATGGTTTACCTCCAGGCATAATTTGGCCACAGTCTTGTAATGTTAAAGACGTTAAACTGTTTTCTTGATCAACACGTATAACTCCAAAACTAAGAGCTGACATAGATAAAACCCCTCTTCCACTAGCACCTGTACCTGTTCTTCCAGGCCTAAAGAAATTTTGCAGGAAAAAGAAAAATATAATAATAGAATATACTTTTATTCTATTTAAAAAATATAAATATTGGTATAACTTACTAACTGAAATTTAACCAAAACATCAATTACCTTCTGATAGCAACCGTTAAAGCTTCAGACGAACTTGCACAAGGACACACAGCATCCGGTGAAAGCCCACGACTATGAAAAACACTAACAAACTGATCACAAGAAGATAATGACCCTAAAAAAGTTTTTTAAATTATATATCAAATAATTTTCCAATAACATATATTATTATTAATAACTAATATTTTATTTTATACTATATAATAATAATAATAATAAAATTATCTAATCGTACTATATTAAATATAATTAGTAATGGTAATTTTTAACCACTCAGTTAATAAAAGTAATCATCAGTTAGATTTGCTACTACAGACAAAATATTAGCAATTATTGATTAATTAATTTAATGAGTAATGATTACATTTAAGAATATTCCTAAAAAAAATGTAAATTCTACAGTTCATGCATACTGGACAACAAGTGTATGTGTACCTGTTGCCCTAAAAAAAGCTTAACACATTTCACTGAATTTGTTATTTTTGTTTAACATTTGTTTTTTTTTTTTCCTGTAAAATGAAATCAAAAGTTGTCAGGATGATTGCTGATGCCATGAAAAGAAAAGAATATATTACTAAATACTGACTACTTTAATGACTTCCTGATGAACTAAAATGCTATCGCATGCATTTGTTTTTACATCTTGTGTCACAGGAAGATGTTTTTTATGTTAATGTTTCAGGCCTCAAAGTACTTTTAAGTTTTTTGTTTAATCAACTTCACTTAGTTTACACTAAAAAAAAAAAAAAAAGTATATAAGCTATACAAATATTGTATTTGATAAAGTGAAAATTATCTAATATTTCTCTTTCCAGTACAGCTTTTCTGTAAACGTAATTCTGTACTAAACTTTTTCATAGATATGTTTGTATGTAGGTAGGTACAGTACATACATAATAATGTAATAATAATATATGTTATGAAATGCAAGAAACTAACTAATTTCCATAATTTCCCTATGTTATATTCTAGAACAGTCAGGAAAGTAACATGCAAAACTACAAACACTAGTCATAAAATGACATACAATACATACTAAACAATAAAACTGCTATTTATACAATAAAATCTGTTTATCCAATCTGAATGCAATCTAATTAATAAATATTTTCACATTCTGATTGTTTTGAATTTTAAGCAGTTTGTTATAAAAATAACAAACTGCTTAAAATTGAAAATTAATCTGTTCTCATTTTAATTACTTCATAATTTAGTAATTACCATTTGGATATATTAATTTTCTTAACGAAGGCAAACTGTTTACATGAAATTTGTTCCCTTTTGTTTTATATTTGTAGTGAAATGAATTTGTTATTATTTGTTTAATATATTTAATGATAAAATGAGAATTTAACTATTACATAACATTTGAATTTATAATAAATTTCCTGTAACTGTATATAACATGCCAGGTACATTCAAAATTATAATTATCAGTATGAGATGTTAAGTTTCCATATTATACTTTAAAACTAATAGATAATAACTGTTCTTAGCTTTAATTTTTAAATCTTAACTTAACTTTAAATAAATTTGATTCTGTTCAGTGATTACATCAAAATTAAAATAATAAAAAATTGAACAAAATGCTCTATTTAATTTTAATTCATCTACTATATTACAGTAAAACCTGAATAAACTAGAATGGCATGGTACCAAATTATTTTATTCATTTTAGCAAGTTTCCATTTTTACTACTTTTTCATTTTTATCTTTAAACTACACCAGATATGTTCATTTTTTATAGTACAAGTAAAATCACTTTTAAATGTACTGTATAAAGAAATTTTATTACTAGGCTTAATCCAAATGAATCCAAAGTGATTCCAACTAAAGATGGAGTATACAAATGTAAGAATTGATAACTATTCTATTGCAAAAAATTCTCATTGTTCCTAAGAACTTGTGCTATATACTTGAATATGTGTCATACCATAACAAACAGGACAATTCAAGTTTCAAAAACTAGTGTCTTGATTCGCTGTCAAAAATTCTAATTACATTACAATAACACAGAGACTAAGTTGTTCTGTGATCTGACTTCTCCAGAATTTTAATACTCCAATCTCTGTAATTATCAACATGTTAATCAACTTGTTTTCAAATATTTGGTACTATTTAGCTATATTAATTATTCTGTAGAGGAGAAATAGGTAGCACCATGTTATCCTAGTCTCATTGTTTTCACAAATTATATTCATTTCTTGTTCTCAAGAACTTGTTTAATTCTTGAAAATTCTTGATTTTTTAAAAATATTTGATTTTGCTCCTGGTTAATTCCAACAAAGACTAAGACTGACATTGGAGGAGAAAGTCCAATTTCTCCAATGTCCTGCACAGCTTCACCACTATTTTTCTGTAAGACTTGGCCAGCAAGTCCATATATGTAAAGCACATCTGACTTTGTATGTATGGCTATGCTGGCCACGTCTTATAGGAAAACAAAGATTAATATTAACAAAAACGTTTTGCCCGTATATCCTCGTCATGTGCCCTTCATTTCTTTAACATTCAATATTGTTCTCAGAATACATTTTATCATGTTCTGTAGTAATGGCTATACTTGGAGACAGTTTACTTATTTGCCTACCAGCGAAATTTTGACTTTCTGCTTTATCCATGTTATGTTACATTCTTTGTACCCAAAAGCCTCTTCTGTTTCTACATTGAACAGATTTCCAGCTTTTAGTAAGATTCAACAGAAAAACTGCTTTATTCCAAAGAATTTTTTCCATTTAGGCAGGTTTCCAATTTATTCAGTTCTATTTTAGACAAGCTTTACTGTAATTATAAGAATAGTAAATAAAAAAAACATCCTTTATATGATAAAAGATGTTTTTTTTCCTTATAATCTTATAAAATTCTTATAAAAATTTAAAATTTAAAAAATCTTATGAAAATTTAAATTTATTGTTTTTTCATTTATTAATACATTTTGATGTATCAAGGATAATTACTTATACTTTTTCCTTTTTTTTGTCTTGAAGATTCAGTTTTATTCTTTCTTTTCCTGTCTTCTCAATTAATAAATACACCAAAATGTTTTAATAATTAAATACAAAAACAGAAAATTTAAATTTATAAAAGATTTGCTGATCAAATAAAAATTTCAAATGATTTCATTTTCTCTCTATAACTGCAGTAAACATTTTTGTCTATTACAAGATAAAGTAGAACTTTTAGAAAAACTTTCTATATATTAAAATCTACATAAAAAATAAACCCAAACTGTGACTAAATAAGAGGATTCTTTTATTCAGTAACCATAATGATTTAATTTGAACATGTACACATTATGTAACATTAAATCTGGCACTGCTTGAGTTATCTTGAGGCCCATGCATTTTTGCCAGTTTTATCATCCCAGAGTTATCAAATTTTTTAAAATATAGTATTAACTTTAAATATATTCTGCACAACGATATTATTATATAATTATATTTATAATTCAGCTCATTTCAAATAAAACAAATTAATTTGTGCGATATTTAATTTAAACTAAACTTACATGGATTTGATCCATCTGCCACCAATAATAAACGAAGAGAGCTCAAATTAACATCTTTATGATCTTTAGTTGCCAATAAACCCCAATGCAAATCACGAGACTTACAAACTGCAACACTAGCTGAAAGAAGAAGAAAAATAATTTAATTTTACGTGAACTAAATATACTATAAAATTATTTACAGTTCTATTTTTCTTTTATGCAAAAACATACATTTATATATATACATATACACAGTAGAATCTGCTTTTGGATTTGCCTATATTGATAAGAATAACCAACCGATAACATTAAGCAAAATAAATAAATAAGATTACAATTAATGGAAATTTTGGTTTCACTGATTATATTTAAAGGAAAAAAAAACATTAAAACAAAAACCTGTTTAACTTGAAGATTTATTAATTATATCTTGTATATTTTGTAAATTTCTGATAACATTAACCAACTGAATACAATATCTGTGATTACAATAAATGGAGTCTACTGTATATTTTAAAACTGAGAAACTGTTATGAAAGAAATTTCATAACACTTAAAATAATCCATACAATAAAAATGTATTAATAATAATGTCATTTAAATTCAAAACAATAACAAATGTCTAATATGTACTTCATTTGATGAATTTTATTAGAACAAAGATATTATCAACTAATTTTCATTTGATAGTATTTACTTTGATTATTTCTAGTAGTGTTAACTTGTCTACCAGAAGTAATTCCTTTCTGATAAAACAAACTTATTGCAATATACACCAGACATTTTTCTATTCTGTTATTTTTTACAATTTATTCAACATAATATAGTTTCTGCATATTTTATTCTAAGGAATATTTTTAAAGTAGTAATTTAACCACATTTATTTATTATATTTAAATGTTTTAGTTTTACAGACTAAAAAAAAAAAACTGTTTATTTTATTATTTTAATATAAAGGATGTCCACCATGAACCTGATACATTTGAAACTGTTGTAAAAAATCTACCGCTCAGGAAGGATGTAAAGTAATGCACATTTTATGATGAAAAACTCAAAAAAGTTTTATTAAAAAATCAGTGAACCTCTACACGAGCTTCCTTTTGTTGCAAGTAGAACATCAAGTTTATACTTCATTTCCTGCCAGGTTCTTTCAAGCATCTTGGGCATGACGGCAGCAACAGCATTGTGAATGCTCACATGGAGATGTTGAAGGTCACAAATTTTGACACCAGTATAAACCTTGTCCTTGACAAATCCCTAAAAGAAAAGGTCTAAGTCCAATCAAACAATCGAGAAATTGTGCCTGGATTGCCACCGCCATGTGATTTTAACATGGTTTCCTTCGTCAAGAAGTGTTGTTTCCGTAACTTGAGAGAGTTCCTCGAGGGTGGCACCTTTCCAAACATGAGACGAAAGTTCTGTTGCACTTGAATCATGGAATTTGTTTCAGCATACCACCACACAACTTGTGCCCGCTGTTGTGGAGAAGCCATTTTGCATTTGACTACTGCCATGCCACTTACAGTCACTTTAGTGGGTTTTCAAAATTATCTACACAATTTCCACAGTTTCTCCACCTTAATGGAATGCACAACATCTGATTACTACCTTGCATTTCAATATGGCAGTCAAAACAAATGTGTCAGGTTCATGGTGGACACCCTGTATTGTAGAAATGATGAAGAGGTGTGATTAGAATAAGGATTGGATTAGAGTGATGGATTAAGGCAATGCAACAAATGGGTCATCTGACAAGAAAGTGTACTTCCTGAGAAACTGGTCCCTACTTAGGCATTAGACACTGGAAGAAAATCAAAAAACTCCATGCAAGCCCAACAATAAGAGACAAACCGAACATAACATCATTGTCCGAACATAAAAATCTTTTGCAAAAGTGTTCATTGTCTGATTTGTTTGCAGTCCAAACCGTTTGTTAACCGAACAGTTGTATTTACTTCAAAATACTTAAAAGTTACCAGTATTAAACACACTCAAGCAAACCTTTAAATATGCAGCCGTATTTATTAAATTCTAACGTTTTCGGTCATATTCAATGACCTCAAAAAACGTTCCAAAACGCTTGTATCGTTAATTCAAGTTCGGAGTTCGATTTTTTCTGTTTTTTCTTGAGAAAGGTCATTGAATATGACCGAAAACGTTAGAATTTAATAAATACGGCTGCATATTTAAAGGTTTGCTTGAGTGTGTTTAGTTAGTAAGAAATTGCAGTCTAGGATGAGTTTTAGTTACCAGTATGTACAGATTTTTAGATTTCTCAAAATTGTAAGCTTCATAAATATATTGAAAAAGAAAAAGTACAATTAATAACATTTTTTTATTTTATATTCACGATTTCTTCCAATTAAACTTCATGTATTAAAAATAAAACAATGCAAAATTAAAATCTGTCACCAAACTCAACCATTGCCAAGTTGACCATGTTTGATCAAAAACATTTATAGTTGAACGTTCTAACAAAGTGAATAATAATGAATGTAATGTAACTCTCATGAACTTAGCTGTCACAGTACCATGACTGTAAACAAACTCTAAATAATTAGTTTTACAATTATAATGTTCTTAACTAGTATTCTTACCTTTAAATTTGGTTATCATAAGCATCCAAGATGCAGGATTGATTTTCATTAAAGAATATGGAATAAATATAACATGCATTCCATTTAAAACACTCTGTAATGGAAACAATTCATTATTTTAATATATGCTAATTACATTTGTCACTATATATTTTTGAATTTTCTGTAAAAATATATAAGAAAAAACATCAAATCTAGTATCTTAAGTTTAAAAACCTTTAAAAAATAATATAAAGGAAGAAATGTAATATAATTATGTTTCTTCATTTTTTTGGAAAAGTATTACACTACCATCATAACAAATTAAACCTGAAAACTCACAAATAGAACCTGAGATTTATACTAACACAACAATGTATAGTTGAAATCTTTAGATAAACTTGTAAGTTATTTTTATATGCTGATATCTTATAATTTGTTACAAACTTGCTATATGAGTCACATCTATGGATCTAGATCCAAGCCTTTATTTAATTTTTTTTATTAATCCACAATCACATCAAGTTATTTTTTCACACAATTATGCTGCACATAATTGCTGTTCCTTGAATGAGACAACCCTGAAAAATCTTTTCTGTATGTGCCAAATTTCAACAAAATATGAGATACTGTTTTGTTTACAGAATAATGTCCTTGATCAAGTTTCCGTAGGAAGCTATAGGAAGCTAGCTCTTTAAAGCTTATAGCATATGCTAGTGTGAAATGATTTCAGTTGGAAATAAAGAATGGGAGGGTTCAAGTGTTTCTTAGAGAGACCATAAAATTATTTTTCTATATTTTTCAGGCATAAAATAAAGCTGTAAAAACATTTAAATTGTTGAAGGTCACAGTGTCATATTATCTTACAGAGGCAAGCCTTCAAGGTAGCAATTTGCAGACCACCATACTGTTACTTCACGCACAGCTGATAAATATCCATGATGTCTTGCTTACTTATTGCAGCAATTGTAAGAGGACTCCAAAATGTCAGATTACTGAAAATGACATCAAAGCAGAAATTTGCTACCCTATGTATGTGATTGTGTTCAGAGTTCCTACTCAGATTTTTATTTTAATTTCAATGACTTTCCATGACTAACTTTGTACAAATTCCCTGACCCTCACATCACTTACAGTATGGCACATTGACAAAATAAAACAGCATTTGAATTAGTTACTTTTTCTAAATAATAGTTATATATTTTTTATAATTGCTTCTTCCAATGCCAAAAACTTTAAGAAAAATATTAATACTGTCTATCAATGTTGTTATTTTTTACTTGAAATATTACTACAAGTACTTTTGACAAATTACAGATTGTCTTCTTCACACATAGAATAATGGAATCTTAATGGAACCTTACAATTTAAAATATATATTAATGTGTTAATGTGTTTAAAATATACATTAATTTGCCATCTGGAACACATTAACGTATACGTTTAAATTGTAAGGTCACATTAAAATTCCATTATTCTATGCCCGAAGAAGACAATCTGTAATTTGTTGAAAGTACTTGTAATAATATTTTAAGTAAAAAATAATAATGCCAATACACAGTATTAATATTTTTCTTATAACTGTCAAATTATTAAAAATAAAAATAAAACGTTTTATTAAAATTCTGTTATTATGTTATTAATCCACAACCATAAATCTACATTGATTTGAAAAAGAAAAGAAAAAAAAAACAATTATTTTTTATTATTCATTAACAAATTCTATATAGTCCAAGTACAAAAGTATATATTTATTAAATTTATTTCTTAATAAATTTCCTGAACTTTATAAAATATTAATAAACTGGAAAAAAAATCAGAAAGTGTTTTGTTATGCAATCAAAATTATTAAAATGAAAAATTATAATTACCATTTAAATTATTTATCATTTTATATATTTTATAAATTTTTGTGGAAGTTTGGGAGAAATTTTGGGTCCTGAAAATATTATGCATCCCTTTTCATAAGTTGTATTGCATCACGTTACTTCTTGCTACCTGAAGATGAACTTAGTCAAGCATATTGTCAGCAAAAAATCAACAGGGGAGCCAAGGAAGCAAATTCCCTGACATTTCATGACTTTTACTGAATACTAATGAAAATCCCTGACTTTCCAGGTGCATAGGAACCCTATGTTCCAATAAAGAAAAATTGTATGCAATTGCATGCATAAGACAGCAATTTTCTGCAGTGGTTTTGAAGGCCTGTGATAAAGCAGAAAAAAATTTTTCTTTAACCAAAACTTTTACATATTTAAATGGGTAACATTTTTATAGCATAAGAATATAATGGAAGAAGAGCTAAGTAAGTGAATTTGTTGAAAAATGCTTGTGAAAACGTAGTAGGTGTGGAAAATTGCTGCTACAATATGTGATTGCAAGTTAATTAAAACTTGCTCTAAGTTTACACAATTATCATTTCATTAGTAACCATACAGTATATTTTCTTAGACTTTGATACAACTATGGAGATTTCATCTCATTTTATTTTCATTGTTTAATATTGTCTCTGTTAATGTCATGCAAATTCTAGTCTTACTGCTGATGCTTTTTATGCCTGGTAATCTTTAATGCAGACCCCTACACATGCTACTAATATAAAACTTCTATCTCTACCAATCAGATGACTAAACAGGATCTGTATCTCCTGATTGACTGAGTATCATATCATCTCTTTCATTTTTTTTATTAATATATATAATGTGAACTTCTGACAAGTTACTGCAGTCACAAATTTGCTGAAAAGATACTTTATTTTATCAGCTTTTTTGCATTTAGTCTTGTGACATAAAGTCTGAATCCTAGTACTTCTTTGTTCATACTTGTATATTGCAATCTTCTACTGCTCTCTATCTAGACCAGTGTTTCCCAACCTTTTTTGTGATATGCCCTACCTAAGCCTTTCTAAAATTCTTATGACCCCCTAACATATTCAGCAGCTATGCGGTTAACTTAAACTCTGGACGAGTCCATTTTCGAATTGCCCCCGTGAGGTGTGGGCCCCACATTGGGAAACACTGATCTAGACTCTTAAGTTTAGAAATCAGACTGTTTAGATAATCAAGGCAGTTTTTAGCCAAATAGATTATCTTATAAAATCCAACCCCTCTTGTTGCTCTCATCTGTCTATTGTAAATAATAATGCTCTTACATATTACTTTAAAAAGTTGCTATTTTACTTTTTAAAATATTTAATTAAAGTGCCATTATACTGGGGATTATTGCAGGTTTTCTACAGATGTAGAAAACTTTCTATTTTTTGATCAAATTTTAATACTAGAAAATAAACGTCCTTGTCAACCATTTGGTCTATTTGTAAACAAATTCATATTATTATTGTTGTTAGAGTTGTTGACTCTTACAAAGTGTTCATACTGATTTTTTTCCCTCTTCTAAATCACCTTAAGATCATATACATAATTAAATTTTTGTAGAATTTTTCATTATACTTCTCAAAAATTTCATTTCATGCTTCACAAATTCCAAAACTAATTTCTGTAATACTCCCAAAACAGGCAAATCTATTAAAATTTCTTTCATTTGTATTTATGTTTGTTTCTATTTATACCATATTTACTCGAAGATGAGTTTTTATTCATTTTTCACTGCTTCAAAAACTTAGATCATCCTATATGTGTGTGAGCAAAAGATTCTTTGCATTTTTTCAATAATTTTTGTGAACTGTGTATTTGCATTTTTTACCGGATTCTCATCTTCTGGTGTTTAAAAGCAAAAGTATTTTATCTGGATCATTTAAATCGTTCTTGTGTATTGTCAGGAGTAAAAGCGAGTAGCAATACGAAAAGCAAAACTTTTGAATTGAATTCTAAAATTACATGGGAGCCTGATATAAATTTTAATTCTTTCCCATTTGGAAATCAGAATTTGGAGAAACTCATAAGTTTAATCGACGAAGAGTGAATTCGACTGTTAAGAATAAAAAAAAAAAAAAGGTTCCCGATTGTTCAACTTTACATGAACAAATTATGTTGATTTTACAAGATTTTTCCTTGAAGTTTAAAATGCTAGTAACTTTTGTGGGACAATGTGTGCATTTACGTGCATTTCATATTTTATTTGTGATTAAACAAAATAAAATTAGAATTGTATTAATAAATCTAATTTTCTTTATTTTGATCTTTAAAGTCGCACCTCGTCCTATATCCGAGTAAATACGGTATATCTTTGTGTTTGAATATATCTTATTTATTTTAAACTTTGAAGTGTTAAATTAGGATGCTTGTAAACAAAAAAAAATTTGGATAATCTTAAGAATAACATTCATCCAGAATTCCTCATGAGTCGGAAGCATTAGTAATATATTGTAAATATTTTTTTTGATACTTTAGATTTACACTACTTTTGAGTTTTTTCTTAACATTCAATTGTAGAACTGAGAATGAGAATAAAACTTTTTGACATTTAACGCAGTCATCTAAAAAATTTTAAGTTTTTTTAGTAAGTTCATTTGTAGCAATGGAGATTATAGTAGGAAATCAACATAATTAGTTAAGAATAGCCTTTAACTTGAAAATATTATGAGATGGTAATTTTATTATAATAAAATTTATTGTAATTTTAATATAAATAAATCTAAAATATTTATAAGTAGTCAATACTTACAGTTAGAATACTATGCCAAAGTCCAACTTCTCTCTTAAAATCCAAAACACATACCATTACTTCTCCTAAAAAGTAATAAATTATTAAACAAATAATTTATCTTCAATGTATCTAAAGCACAATAAGTTTACTAAATAAATAAATTATATTGCAACATATAACTCATGCAAAAGCCTGAGTTTCTTAATTAATCAATTAAGTCTAATTACCTGAGTTATTTTTGGGCTGTAATAAAAATGATTAAACCAATAAATATGGTCTAGAGATAATAGAAGATAGTGACCTATCTGATTTTAATAATTATAAATTGAATTATTTAACATTTCTGTACATTATAAATATCATCAATTGTTTTAAGTGATCTTAGACTTCAAATAATGATAAAATTTGTTTTTTTTTNCCTTTGTGAATATGTCGTTTTGTATTTATACAATTTTTTAAAAATGTAATTTACGCCGGCCATAGTTTATTTTACTATTTTTACTTAAAATGTGATATTGTGAAAAATGGCTAATAAACACCAGAGGACGCTTTACCTATATTTACATTTTTTGCCGAAACAGTAGCCTAAAAAGGAAGGTCGTCTCGGAAACTTGTGAATTGTTTTTAAGGATTGCTGATGGTGTAGAAACGGCGGAAAGATAGACAGAAGCGAGGTTTTTTACCTTTGTGAATATGTCGTTTTGTATTTATACAATTTTTTAAAAATGTAATTTACGCCGGCCATAGTTTATTTTACTATTTTTACTTAAAATGTGATATTGTGAAAAATGGCTAATAAACACCAGAGGACGCTTTACCTATATTTACATTTTTTGCCGAAACAGTAGCCTAAAAAGGAAGGTCGTCTCGGAAACTTGTGAATTGTTTTTAAGGATTGCTGATGGTGTAGAAACGGCGGAAAGATAGACAGAAGCGAGGTTTTTTACCTTTGTGAATATGTCGTTTTGTATTTATACAATTTTTTAAAAATGTAATTTACGCCGGCCATAGTTTATTTTACTATTTTTACTTAAAATGTGATATTGTGAAAAATGGCTAATAAACACCAGAGGACGCTTTACCTATATTTACATTTTTTGCCGAAACAGTAGCCTAAAAAGGAAGGTCGTCTCGGAAACTTGTGAATTGTTTTTAAGGATTGCTGATGGTGTAGAAACGGCGGAAAGATAGACAGAAGCGAGGTTTTTTACCTTTGTGAATATGTCGTTTTGTATTTATACAATTTTTTAAAAATGTAATTTACGCCGGCCATAGTTTATTTTACTATTTTTACTTAAAATGTGATATTGTGAAAAATGGCTAATAAACACCAGAGGACGCTTTACCTATATTTACATTTTTTGCCGAAACAGTAGCCTAAAAAGGAAGGTCGTCTCGGAAACTTGTGAATTGTTTTTAAGGATTGCTGATGGTGTAGAAACGGCGGAAAAATAGACAGAAGCAAGGTTTTACCTTTGTGAATATGTCGTTTTGTATTTATACAATTTAAAAAAAAAAAAATAATATTAGTTACTAATAAATAGTAATTCACCTAAGGTTATCTGCCTGATGTTTTTTGCATGGTCCACTATAGTAGTGAAGTGCGTATGTTAAGACTTTTGACCATCTGTCAGACGTGCACATGCATGCTCCATTCAATCCATTTATCGCACATGTGTGTGCACAATGACTTCACTTTTGTTATCTAAATGTTATGTTTCGTTCAATCCATTTATTGCACATGTGCATGCACGCATACAACTACTACTTGATTCCAAGAATTTATTTTAAACAAAATTAATATTTGATTCACTTTTGTGGAGCATACCATCAGATCAGCTTGACCAAGCTTGTTAACAATAACTAGACTGTAAATTAAATAAGAAATACAAGCAATTTAAACCAATGTACTACAAGCAAATTACATCAAAATGATTTACATTTAAAATTTAAAACACTGGCTAAAGATTTATAATGAGTGCACATTATCAGTCACATGGTAAGGCTTATAGCATGAAAATACAGCTTGAAAATGCCTATTTACTCAAAGTTAATGATAAATATAACCAAAATTCTTATTAAAATAATACAATAGTTTAGTACAATAGTTTTATTAGTACATTTTAATTTATATGTTTTGAGGCATGCCAATTCTAATAATATCAGTAATTAAGTAGATTCAATAAGCTGATTATACTGTTAGGAGTAAGCATAAGGTTCCTTGAGAGAATGACTCATACAGGAACACACAGCAAAGAGATATATGCAGGTTTTATTAATTCTGGAGGATATTTCGGACAATATATCCCTCATTGGTTCTCTTTATTTTATATCAATCTGGATAGTAGAAGTTACATGTGGTTATAATAATGAAACTGTTCATTATAAAAGGGAAAGTATGGTAAAATACTATTACAATAATAAAAATTAAAAGGTGATATAGGGNTTAAAAATACACATTATAAAAAATATGAATTATGAACAAATGCTGTAATAATGATCAATCAAATTATCATTACTTTGTGTTCCAATGTTTTTGCTATTCCACAGGTTTTAAAATTTTAATTATTCTAATTGTACAAAGTTTCTTCATTATTATCTATGTATCTTTTGACTTTATTAATATCAAACAAACAAAAAAATGTCCAAAAAGAAACAGATTTTATTAGTGTATACATTTTTAGTTAAATATAATTAATAACTTTAATGCTGATTATTTTGATTATTTCCAAATTATCTTAACATAGATGTAAAATTAAATGTTATGCTTAATGAATAATAAAACAATAAAAGCATAATGTTTTGTTTAGCATTTGTTTAACTATTTATACTGTTTTAGCTCTATTCTGTGAGATAATTTACATTGATAATCTAATAATTAAACACTTAACTACTTATTTCATCTGATTTTATAATACAAATTTTAAAATTGACATACTCTTCTTGTTAATGGAACTTCAATTGGCACTGGCACTATACCAGCTGTCAAGCAACCATAAAAAGTTACTAGAAATTCCCCCATCAAGCATGAAAGAATATTTTTTATGAGAAAATATAGGTTGAAGAATTGAGAAGAACTTAAAGTCAAGCTTGACATTGTGATGCTGTTTCTGTAGGCCCTTCACAAAGCTATTCTTACTCAATGTTGGACTTCATGGCCTTCAGGGGTCTCAGTCATTCTTATTCTTTTAGATCTAGAATTTACCTAACCAATTTTACTGTTATGTTTTCTCCTTAGATCTTTTTTTTTTGACAAAATAGTGTGTCTTTTTAATTCCATGTTGATAAAACAAAGATGTACATTAGTTAGATTAACAATAACACTTTCTAAATAACAGGCACATTAGATCTTTACTTCTGATTGGATTATAGAATGCCATGTGGTCACTATGGAAAGATTTTTTTTTTAAATGTATTATAGAAATGTTACGATCAGATATATTTTTTTAAAATTTAGATTTCATGAAGTAAGTTTAAAAAACACCATTTGCCAAAATATTTAAAAATGCAACTCAAGGAAAATTCCATCATCAAGCATGAACGTCACATGGTTCCTAATTCCACAGCAATGTAAGTGTGATCACCAATCTGAAATTGATAAAATGTTTATTCTTTAGCTAATATTTCCACAGAATAAATAGCCTATACTTTCTTTCAGAATATAAAAGGAATGTAACCAAAATTCATATAGACTGGACAAAAATTACAGAAGTTATAAGGAATTCACACACATATGTGCACACAGAGATGATGGCTTTTATATTTATATAAAGTTAAATAGATTTTTCAAAAATGTATAATCAGTGCTTTAATTTAATTTCATTATTACACTTATAAAATCAAACATTTTGAAAATATATCAAATTATGAAAATCTGTTTCTTCCACTATAGTAAAACAAAACAAAAAAACAAAAAAATTCTTAACACAATGTATTTATGTTCTTTCACGGCTTTGACTAATGAATTAAAAGTTCCTGTATTGCTTCTTCTTTTCTTGTATTTCACTGGTGTGGAAATTGCCATTGTTTCAACAGAACTATTTCTTTTGACAGCTTCCTTCTCTTTCAGCAATATTTTTGGGATTTTGGTACATGAATTAACAGCCATGAAGGACAATCCACATACTTCCTTATCTGATGATATATTTAATATATCCTCCTCTGTCACCTGTGAAATTTTGTTTTTAGGAACAATTTCATTTTCTCTGTTGAATCGTTTTGGGCATTTTTACTTATTCAAAAATCCAAAAATCTTGTTCAATTTAAATATAAAACAAATCAGCCTAAAGAGGCTAGTCATAAACTGTTGAAGGTACTTGCAAAGTGTGAATAAAGTGTTGATTTTAATGCTGCAAGACAGAGTATGTTATTTTTATTGTTATTTTAAATAAAAATCTTGGCGTGAAGTGCACCATTTCTTTTAGCAAAGAACATGACATACAGGAAAAACCATGAAGTAATGTGACATTTTCTTGGCGATTTTTGAAATATAAACATCGGAATTGATAAGGAATTACCTTTATTTCTTTGAAGGTAAAAATCATGTTTGGTAGTGTTTTTATACTTATTAAAAATTCAAATTATAATGTTTCTGAGCAAGAATTAGGATTCTTTCCAATTTAATACTCTTTCTATTAATTTGTAAAATTTTCAAGTTGTATTGCTTTTGTGCATAATATAATAGAAAATATAGACACACACTAATAAATTATAATTATTGTTTTAGAATAGTGTTCAATATTAGATTTAAAAAAACTCACTTCAATATAAGCTGCAGCTTCTTCACTAATTCTAACTGGTGGTTGCCAATCTTTGGGAGGTTTACTAAGATGCTCAGTTACAAACCAATTTAGTTTTGGCCAGCCTAATAAAATAATTAATTACTGTATTCAGTTTAAGTTTTAAAATATTACATTTATCAAAATAAACAGTATTAAAATTACCTTTAAATGTATGAATTTCACCTGTAGCAGTCTTTGGTAAACCTTTATAACAAGCTTCTGAAGTTAATGCATAACAAACACCACAACTTCCTAAGAGAAAGCCAATTTGTTGGGATCCAGCATCCTAAATATTTATAAAAATTTTTGAATTAAAATTAATAAATACTTATTAATTTTTATATATTTTTAATGAAAGACTTATTTTCTACAGATATACATAATAATATATTATATATATCATTCTGATAACATGGCACTAGTATGATACTATACAACACTTTATAACTAAATTAGCAGATTATCAAACATTATAATACAATATTCAACTTATGTAAAGTTATACAAAACTTTACTAAATTATAATAAAGCTTATTTAACTCAGCAATATCACTCCTAATATTCTTTAAAATAAGATACAAATAAAATATAGCATTTAATTTAGTCTTAAAAATTAAACTTCTTATGTACTTTCAAGAAACCATAATTTTAAATTTTTTTTTAGTTGATTCAGAATACATCTCCCATATATATTAGTTCAATGGAAAATCAATGTCTGATATACATTTGTTGTCATAATTTATGCTTTTTTTAAATTATAACTACAACATAACTGAAGATCATCTATATTAGAAGCATTCAAACATATTGAAATATAAAATCTTTCATAAAACCTAAACCGTTTTGCTGTTTCAAAATAAATTTAAGATCATAGTAAAAGTTTGTTTGCATTTAAGAAAAAAAAATACTAAAATTTTTTATTGTGATTTAATATAAAAATCCTATTAAATATAAGCATTAATTAAAAATACACATTATAAAAAATATGAATTATGAACAAATGCTGTAATAATGATCAATCAAATTATCATTACTTTGTGTTCCAATGTTTTTGCTATTCCACAGGTTTTAAAATTTTAATTATTCTAATTGTACAAAGTTTCTTCATTATTATCTATGTATCTTTTGACTTTATTAATATCAAACAAACAAAAAAATGTCCAAAAAGAAACAGATTTTATTAGTGTATACATTTTTAGTTAAATATAATTAATAACTTTAATGCTGATTATTTTGATTATTTCCAAATTATCTTAACATAGATGTAAAATTAAATGTTATGCTTAATGAATAATAAAACAATAAAAGCATAATGTTTTGTTTAGCATTTGTTTAACTATTTATACTGTTTTAGCTCTATTCTGTGAGATAATTTACATTGATAATCTAATAATTAAACACTTAACTACTTATTTCATCTGATTTTATAATACAAATTTTAAAATTGACATACTCTTCTTGTTAATGGAACTTCAATTGGCACTGGCACTATACCAGCTGTCAAGCAACCATAAAAAGTACATAAAAAGGCAACTGGATCATTATTAGGATATACTACTGCAACCTAAGTAAAGAAAAATTATTATTTTATTTAAAAATAAATATTTTCATAAATTATTTATAGTTATAGTCATACTAATTAATTAAAATAGGTACAAAAAATTTTTAGTTGTTTTATATTATATAAGTTAATATAATATTTAAATCTAATACAATCAACTCACATTAATATGAATTGCTAGGTGAACAGTAGGTAGTTTGCTTTATTAAAAATTTGTATTAATGATTTTCAGGGTCAAGGTCAATGTTATATAACTTAGGGAATTGGTTTGATCAATTTCTCTAAATTATAATATTTTGAATTAATTTACTAAATAAAGTGGTATAAAATAAAATTTATTTACAAAAACAAATTAATGTTCTAAATGATTTTCAAATCAAACAAAATGACGAAACAGTATTCAACGTTTAAGTGTGGTGAAATATATCAGAGTGGTTAAACAAAAAGCTAAAAGGCAATCTGTAATTTTTTTCGTTGACGATTGTTTGAAAAAGTAGAAAATGTTTTTTGCATGAAAAGAATAAAAATGGAGCCAAATTTGGCACAAAGTAGCCAAACCCAACATCACTGCACATATTCCCCAATATGCAAACTAGCAAGTGTTTGCATAAGATCACATCCATTTAAGGGGGTGAGCATTGTTAAACTTTAACCCAGTGGTTTAACAAAGTGGGTGGTAAGTAAATCTAGGAGATGAAAAAAAAAGGAAGCAGCAGGGTGCTGGAGACAGGGTACTGAACAGTGACCATAGATGTAGGTTGGGATCACTGACAACTGTTCTCTTTCCTCTGTTATAATGAGCAAGAAACATTGCATGTTGAAAACAATGTACGGTAAAGACACAAAGTATGAGGTTTGTAAAAAGTTTTCCTAAGAATATTTCCAGGCCTTTCTCACACAAAAGAAAATGGAGTTAGGGAACATTAGATATGACTTTATGGAATCAAGGGGGCAGTGGCTTGAAAAAGTTTGGGAATCACTACTTTAACTTATCCCATGTTGAAATTTTTCTCTGATGCATGTCACTTCACATTGAATTTTTGTCAATGTTAAGCCTAACAAAAATTACGTTTTAGAAAAAATTAATCATGGCTATTGTATTGTCCAAAATTATTTTTTTATAAAGAAAATACACACATTAAAAAAATGTAAAAACAAAAAAAATTATATTTTGGAAGTTTGTTTTAATATAAAAATTATGACAACTAGTGACATCTAGTGTCAAAAACACAGAAACAAGATATCTCGGGTTCACTGGTCAAGGTCATAATGTTTCAACCCAAGATATTTTGAGAATACCATGGGATATATTAACCCGTATTTTCTGAGTACAGCAGAATGGTCTGCTGAAACCAGATGTTTCAATTACCCTACAATTGGGATATTGAACCCATTTTTGCTTACTAGAAGAAGAAAATCTATCTAATCAAAATGGAACATTTATTACAATATCACTTTTTGTTGTTCATGTCAAAAAATATAAACAGCAACCATTATTGAAAATAGAGTTACTTCTTGTGGGATTTTAAAGATAATTTACAGTTCAATTTAAGAAAATTTGAAAAAATTTTTTGTTTGCTTTATTACATGAAAATCAACATTGTGACAATGGTGTTTTGTCAGAGCTTATGGTAAAATTTGCTTTATCAGTGTTCGTTTTATGGTGAATTGTTTGTATATATACTTAGATAAAATACTATATTTTGAAATTCTTAGAAAAATATCTTTAATAGTTTTAAATCAAAAATTAATCACAAACTAGCTTCAAAATCATAAAATTTTTCTGAAATTTTGAAGATAAAATTTACTGAAAGTTTATAATATATTATTGGAAATAATAATAATGATATATTCTTTAAAAAATAATTTAGAAATAAAGTTTTCAACTGTTATGCTGTTTAAAAACTATAATTTAAACTCAAGAATTTTAAGTCGAATTCCTTAATACTTTCATTGAAAAAATTTGTTGTTAATAAAATTATAGTAAATTATTTAAGTCTCTCTATTGTAGAAAAACCTGTAAGCAATTCTGCAGAATAAAACCATGATATCATAACAATATTGAAAGTTTAGCCAAATAATTTAAATATTTTACTTACTCTGTCTCCAGATTTTAAACCACATTCCCCTTTTTGTCCCATCTTATTGAGCAAATTGTATGCAATCTTCATTGTTCGATTTAAAAGCTTGCCTATAATTCCACAAATAAATTTATAAAATTTTTAATTATGTATTAGAATTTTTAGCTTTGAAAAACAAATTAAAATTTCATAAAAATATTTAATAATTTTATTACTAACTGAAATTTGACCAAAAAGGAGCACAAACTTTAAAATTTATAAGGTGTGTTTAAAAAATTCCAGAATCAAAAAATCAAAATGTGTTACGTTGTAAAGCAATTTGTTTAATATTATTTGAAACATTCGTGTCGACCTTCAACATTTTGACCAGCAATTTTGTAAATTAAGGGAGCGCTTAGAAAATCAGCTTTTTTCACAGATTGCAAAATTTTCTGATTCATCTTTAGAAATATGAGTCAATAGAATTCCTTAAAGTTTTTTCAATTTTGGGTAAAGGCAATTAGACTAAGCTGGACTGGGAGAAGAGGGTGGTTGCGAGAGAACGGCAGTTCCAACTTAAGAAAAAAAAAGTAGTTTGAATCAATAAACTCCTACAAAATGAATCAAAGAAACTTGCTGGTAAAAATACGTTAAAGCTCAGATGACTATTTTAAAAAATATCAAATAAATTTCTCTGTATCCCAACACATTTTGATTTTTTGATTTCTTAAACTTTTTGAACATCCTTATTAATAATTTTGTTTGTTTACAACTTTTATTTGAAGTTATTACTTAGAATAATTTATANAATGTTATATAACTTAGGGAATTGGTTTGATCAATTTCTCTAAATTATAATATTTTGAATTAATTTACTAAATAAAGTGGTATAAAATAAAATTTATTTACAAAAACAAATTAATGTTCTAAATGATTTTCAAATCAAACAAAATGACGAAACAGTATTCAACGTTTAAGTGTGGTGAAATATATCAGAGTGGTTAAACAAAAAGCTAAAAGGCAATCTGTAATTTTTTTCGTAGACGATTGTTTGAAAAAGTAGAAAATGTTTTTTGCATGAAAAGAATAAAAATGGAGCCAAATTTGGCACAAAGTAGCCAAACCCGACATCACTGCACATATTCCCCAATATGCAAACTAGCAAGTGTTTGCATAAGATCACATCCATTTAAGGGGGTGAGCATTGTTAAACTTTAACCCAGTGGTTTAACAAAGTGGGTGGTAAGTAAATCTAGGAGATGAAAAAAAAAAAGGAAGCAGCAGGGTGCTGGAGACAGGGTACTGAACAGTGACATAGATGTAGGTTGGGATCACTGACAACCGTTCCCTTTCCTCTATTAAAATGAGCAAGAAGAAACATTGCATGTTGAGAACAATGTATGGTAAAGACACAAAGTGTGAGGTTTGTAAAAAGTTTTCCTAAGAATATTTCCAGGCCTTTCTCACACAAAAGAAAATGGAGTTAGGGAACATTAGATATGACTTTATGGAATCAAGGGGGCAGTGGCTTGAAAAAGTTTGGGAATCACTACTTTAACTTATCCCATGTTGAAATTTTTCTCTGATGCATGTCACTTCACATTGAATTTTTGTCAATGTTAAGCCTAACAAAAATTACGTTTTAGAAAAAATTAATCATGGCTATTGTATTGTCCAAAATTATTTTTTTATAAAGAAAATACACACATTAAAAAAATGTAAAAACAAAAAAAATTATATTTTGGAAGTTTGTTTTAATATAAAAATTATGACAACTAGTGACATCTAGTGTCAAAAACACAGAAACAAGATATCTCGGGTTCACTGGTCAAGGTCATAATGTTTCAACCCAAGATATTTTGAGAATACCATGGGATATATTAACCCGTATTTTCTGAGTACAGCAGAATGGTCTGCTGAAACCAGATGTTTCAATTACCCTACAATTGGGATATTGAACCCATTTTTGCTTACTAGAAGAAGAAAATCTATCTAATCAAAATGGAACATTTATTACAATATCACTTTTTGTTGTTCATGTCAAAAAATATAAACAGCAACCATTATTGAAAATAGAGTTACTTCTTGTGGGATTTTAAAGATAATTTACAGTTCAATTTAAGAAAATTTGAAAAAATTTTTTGTTTGCTTTATTACATGAAAATCAACATTGTGACAATGGTGTTTTGTCAGAGCTTATGGTAAAATTTGCTTTATCAGTGTTCGTTTTATGGTGAATTGTTTGTATATATACTTAGATAAAATACTATATTTTGAAATTCTTAGAAAAATATCTTTAATAGTTTTAAATCAAAAATTAATCACAAACTAGCTTCAAAATCATAAAATTTTTCTGAAATTTTGAAGATAAAATTTACTGAAAGTTTATAATATATTATTGGAAATAATAATAATGATATATTCTTTAAAAAATAATTTAGAAATAAAGTTTTCAACTGTTATGCTGTTTAAAAACTATAATTTAAACTCAAGAATTTTAAGTCGAATTCCTTAATACTTTCATTGAAAAAATTTGTTGTTAATAAAATTATAGTAAATTATTTAAGTCTCTCTATTGTAGAAAAACCTGTAAGCAATTCTGCAGAATAAAACCATGATATCATAACAATATTGAAAGTTTAGCCAAATAATTTAAATATTTTACTTACTCTGTCTCCAGATTTTAAACCACATTCCCCTTTTTGTCCCATCTTATTGAGCAAATTGTATGCAATCTTCATTGTTCGATTTAAAAGCTTGCCTATAATTCCACAAATAAATTTATAAAATTTTTAATTATGTATTAGAATTTTTAGCTTTGAAAAACAAATTAAAATTTCATAAAAATATTTAATAATTTTATTACTAACTGAAATTTGACCAAAAAGGAGCACAAACTTTAAAATTTATAAGGTGTGTTTAAAAAATTCCAGAATCAAAAAATCAAAATGTGTTACGTTGTAAAGCAATTTGTTTAATATTATTTGAAACATTCGTGTCGACCTTCAACATTTTGACCAGCAATTTTGTAAATTAAGGGAGCGCTTAGAAAATCAGCTTTTTTCACAGATTGCAAAATTTTCTGATTCATCTTTAGAAATATGAGTCAATAGAATTCCTTAAAGTTTTTTCAATTTTGGGTAAAGGCAATTAGACTAAGCTGGACTGGGAGAAGAGGGTGGTTGCGAGAGAACGGCAGTTCCAACTTAAGAAAAAAAAAGTAGTTTGAATCAATAAACTCCTACAAAATGAATCAAAGAAACTTGCTGGTAAAAATACGTTAAAGCTCAGATGACTATTTTAAAAAATATCAAATAAATTTCTCTGTATCCCAACACATTTTGATTTTTTGATTTCTTAAACTTTTTGAACATCCTTATTAATAATTTTGTTTGTTTACAACTTTTATTTGAAGTTATTACTTAGAATAATTTATATCGTTATTGAAAGTAAATAAAAATAATAATTATTAAATAATTAAATTCTCTACAAAAATACAGAAAATATTAATTAGAAAATAAAATAATCATTATTTAGAAAAATAAAATTATTATACAAAAATGAAAATAACCACACAAAAACATTATACAGTGGAACCTCGCTTAATGAGCGACGAGGAGAGGGGAAGTCCTAGATTGTGCGCTTGCTCCATCAGTCTGTGTTTAGCACTCATTCCACTAGCATCTTACTGTTGCTTGTGATAACATATTTTTCCAAACTTGTGTTCACACAAATTACATATAAATGTCAACAACCACAGTCCACACGTCAAATGATATGCCAAATTCTTGGGGTATGTAAAGGCTATAATTAAATATTACATTTTAATTAATTTGACTAGAGGTAGGCAGTTATGCCACCATCTCGTAATAAATTTAATGACCAATTCCAAATTAAATTTTAGAAATGTCTAAATTAAAAATTATTTATTTATAATTATTAAATTTAATATGAGATGGAAGCATAACTGCCTACCTCTAGTCAAATTAATTAATTTCTAATATTTAATTATAGCCTTTACATAGGCCAAGAATTTGGTATATTGTTTGGCATCTTCATCAGACATATCTGATTTTTTTGTTTCATGCCAATTGAATTTGCATTCCAGGTTGGTTTATTCCATGCTAGAAGAAAAGTTGATGATTCACGCTTCTTAACAATGTATATTATGTAATTTTCTTTACCATGGAACGCATTATTGTATTTTACATTAATTTATATGGGAAAAATCGTTTCACTTAATGAGTGTTTCGTATTATGAGTACGATTCTGGAACAAATTATGCTCATTAAGCGAGATTCCACTGTATTCTGAAGAACTAAGACTAGCAGTTTTGTAGTACTTTATATGATTAAAAAATAAATTACAATAAATGTAAAAAAAAAAATAAATATCATAATGATTAAAACTTAAGCTGAAACGTATATTCAAATAAATATTCTTATACAGTGGTGCCTTATATAACGTATGCCTCGAATAATGGATGCTGCGAACAATGCACTTTCTATTTGGCCGTTACGTGACTTGAGCAATGGATTGGCTGCGAACAACAGACTTTCCGTTCAGCAGTTACGTGAGGCGAACAACAAACTTTCTGCGAACAAGTGTGAATGATTTTTCCACTCTTTTGCCGTTGCCAATGACAATCTGCTATTTTTATAATATATTAGTATTATTAGAATATATTATTAGTATATCTGAAGTACATAGCTCCTGTTGGGATTCGGCTTGCTCCCTTGTTTATTATGCACATCACCTCAGTGCAGGGTATTTACATTTATTCAAGTGTTGTGCAAATCATGCCTTCTAAAAAAACAAAGGTGATTTCAATTGAAACAAAGCAAGAAATCATCAGAAGGAGTGAAAGTTGACAAAAACTTCCTTGTCGAATGGAGAGAGGTTCAACAGTTTACCAACACTCATTATCCAAACAGAGCTGAGGCCAACAGGACCAATGATCTCTACAATGACACCCTTGCCTGTCATTTCCGACAGGTCTTGAAGAAGAGAGAGACCACCTTGGACGTGTTTTTCAAGAAGCCAGCTGCCAAAAAACAAAAAATGGAACAAGAGGAGTCGACCCTGCAAGCTCCGGTAGCCTTTTCTGATTCTGACTCTTGATTAAAAAACAATAAAAAGAGACCTGCTGCAATGTGTAAAAAGTTTGTATCTGTATGAATGTGTGAAGAAAGTTTTCCTCCATCTCCTCCTCACAACATCTGACTACCTGGCATAATTGGTGACTGCTCCATTTTCATTTTTTTTAATGGTACAGTACAGTTATTTTATGCTGTGGAACAAATTATATGTTTTAACATGTATTTCTATGGGAAAATACATTTCGTATAACGGACTTTTCACTTAACGGATTAAGTACGTTATACTAGACACCACTGTATTTTAACTATATTAAAACAATTGATAAAAAAAATAAACAAGTATAATAAATGTATTTTAGATCTAAACATTTTTACAAGTATAAACACAGCTTTTCCTAAGTTAGAAAATAACTTAAAATATTTCATAAATTTATCATTTTTAAATACATTATAAAATATTTTTAAAAATGCAATAATCTTACTGAACTGTAACATAAAGTAGAACAAATGTCATAAAATAAAGTATGAATCAATCAGAAAATTATCAAAATTAAATTTGAGATGTACAGTATTAAAATTTTAATGTTATACATCTCATAATTTTAATATAAAGAAAAAATTTCATAAATGTAAATTTATTTAATTCAAAAAGACAAAAGTCTTCCGAAACGTTATATTATTATTCATTTATCTAGCATCCACACGCGGGGACACAATTAAATTAATAATAATGATGTCCTTTCACTGAAATACCGAATACAAATTTAATATAAATTTTTTCTATAGTTTCAAATCAAGTCTCCATAAATGTAAATTCCTTTAATATATTTTAAGTTCCATACTTCTCATAAAAATATTTCTGAAGCAAATAGAAAATTAATTTTAAAAATTATTTGTTTTACATACACACAATGTACGGGGTGTCACTTAAAAATCAGTCCTACCGAGATAATAAAGCAGTAATGAATGATGTAAATTTTAGAGACGATATTTAAAAGGGAAAATATATGAGACCAATCCCAAAACTATATGCAAACTGAAGGAAAGCATTCTCAGACAAATTGAAAGTTTCGACATCAGTATTTTATGCAAAGTCAGTCTGAACAAGGTTATGCATACATAAAGGTATATAGATGCACAAGGATCTTACTTTTAGCTTCTAAGTTTCTATAAATTTAAATAATGTTGAAATAAGGTTTTTAATGAGTGTTCTTTGACTAAATTCATTTGTATTGTTTCCAGTAAGTGGGGTCCAATCTCATAATTTATCTTCTTTATTTTTGAGTATGATGCAATGTGATATAGAGTGATTTTTTGTAATACCATAACAAGTCAGACAGTTATGCAGTTATTGAGTATTTATAGAAAATTAGATGTAATAATAGTCTGATTTATTACTTTTACTATTATTATTATTCTAAAACAAAATTATTTTTAATAACTTTTATTCGTTCATTATATTATTATTTAAAAGGTAATGTCACTATGTCAAACAGCTTGAAATCATTCCCCCCTACCAACATGACCTTAAGTAAAAAATAGTTTAATAATATGATCAAAAAACAAAAAAAAGACTATAAAAATATGAAAAGATTTTATAAATATGATGTTAAAACTAAAGATACAATAAAAGTGAAAAGAAAATATAAAACAGTAATAAAATTACACATAATACATAAATGTTTAAAAAGTTTATTGAAATGAATCTTAATGTTCAATCATGAAATAAATTATAAAATATAGATAAAAAGAAATGCTATATAACATACACATTACAATATTGTAAAAGATGATGACTTGTATAGTATAATTATGTAATTCTAATAAAAAGTCAAAGAATCATCCCATCTGACATCAAAACTGCATTAAAAGTTTATAATATGATTTTACTTATATTGAAGAATATAAGAAAAAGACTTATTTATTGAATTCTAAAAAAATTTTCAGAATGGATTAATGAATTTTATAAAAATACAGGTATCCTTTGATTAATGCAGTTAATTAATCTCTTGATGATACTGCTTATATAAAAATCAAATACAAATACTATGTTAAGTAAATATGGCTGGTAAAGCCACATTAATTAAAACTTTTGCTGCATATATAGAGAGATTGCTGTAATTAATTTTGCAGGTTAATCAAATCCTGCATTAAGTAAGGGATAACTGTACAATATATTGCTAAACAGAAATAATTTTTAAGATAAAATTTTGCAAAATTGCTTAAAATTCAAACCATATTTCCTCAATTAAACACCGAGGGTGTATTTTTGAAGCGTATATACTCCCCAGGATTTTTTTGAAGTCCTAGGGTTTTTTGAAGCCATGATTTATTACTTTGACACATGACACAAGTGAGTAAAAATTAAAAGAAATACCTTAACTATTTGTATATTTTCAGAACTATCAACACCATTTACTAACTGTATTTAGGGGTTACAGCTACAACATTTGAAATAATTACTATTTTCATAGTTAACCCAATTCAGCATCTTTCAATTCAGTTGTTATACTGTCATTTGTTTGTTTTGATGTTATCATCAGAACTGGGCTCTTTACTACCATCTTCTGGTTCAAACTCTGTTTCAAATTTGAGTTTTCCTAATTACTCTTATGCTGATAAGCTCTCAATTTATGAACTTGATTGCACTTTTCACACTCAATATTCTACAATATTTAAAATTTTATTTCCAAAATTGTTCCCATGAAGCTTGGAATAGAAAGTGCTGTCTGACTAGATAATTTGAAGAAGTAGAATTTTAGTTAAATTTCTTACCTGTCACTCTAAACTACATTATCCTATACTTTGCAGTACTTCAACCTGTTTCCCATGCTTTTCAACCTGGAATTTATTTGAGACTGGGGTTTATTTTTAACATCTTTATTCCCCGGAGTTATTTGATTCCTGAGGTTTAATCAGGGAAATACGATATTTTAGTTTTTCTATATATAAAAGCATTAAAAATTTAGTCTACCTACAAATGTTTTAAAACTTAAAATTTAATTTTGAAATACATATTTTATAGATAATCTTAGCAGCAATGATGATACATAATCATTAATAGTCTATCGTCATCTTTGTTGTGCTTCTACAAATTTAAATATTCCTAATTTTCCACGTAAAATAAACAATTCAGTCAGTAAAAATCAAATTTTATTTTTACTGATTGAACTATTGGTCATTTTACAATTTAAATTTAAATGTTTAATATTAATATTTATTAATAAAGCACAATATATTATATCTTAAAAATTGTGTACATACCATAAGTAAGAGGGTTACTAATCTTTCCATTTGTATCTAATACAGTAGCAATTGGTGCTTTAAATGTTGCTGAACCATACCGTTGAATAGCTGCTTCTAGAGTCCGAGGGAGACCAGAAGGAACCTAAGAAATAAAACGTATTGATTCATTTTACAAAATATATTTTTTATAAAAATACATAATGAAATTACAAACTAAGAAATTAAATAACTTAATAATTATGTTATTTTAAGTTTTGATAAGTAAGATATAATCATGTATTTTTAAATCTTTTTCTATGTAAAATAATAGATTTAAACATTTAACTAACATTTAGAACATCAGAAATTAAATATTTCAATAACTCAAACCAGTTCAAAAACATATATTGAAAACTACAAAAACAAAAAAATGCAATTTAAATATACTCATCTGTTAAACAGCCTAAAGTTTTGATATAATTTATAAATTCTGAATTTCATTGTTTGTGTATTTTATAGCTTAAGATTAAACTAAGAAAAAATGCAAACTATCATCCTGTTGTGACTTAAAAAAATGTGCTCAAGTCAAAAAGTCCCAAACTGACTTGACACAATCAAATCAAATACTTGACAGACAGACAAGAGGATGGTTTATTTTGACAAGGAGAAAAGTATATTGTATGGATGTAAACTGTGAAATCATAGATCTGTAAAATAAGCTATCAGTTGACAGTCTAATCCAGTGTTTCTCAAAGTGGGCGATAACGCCCCCTTGTGGGCGCTGGAGGCTTTCAGGGGGCAGTAGAAGGCTCAAAGAGAATTGGGGGGCGTTAAGGAAATATAGAGGGGCGACGGCAGACAAATTCTATATATAAAAATTCGACGGAATATATATAAAATGTTGACATTTTATATATTTTTTATTTTAGATCACAACTTGAATATTTCTAACACATTGACTTTTATTTTAGCTCAGCGTTTCTCAAAGTAAGCAATAACGCCCCCTTCTGGCGCGATGAATAGATCTATGATAGAGGCAGGGTATTGAACGGTGACCAAAGGCAAAATTGGGGCTGATAAGAGGAAACATTGCGTTTAATGGTTTCCAGATGATGAGAACAATGTACAGTAAGGGCACAAAGTGTGAGATTCATAGAAAAGTTTTCCTAAGAATATTTC